GGGGGAGGGACTGAATTGCCATAGCAGTGAGATGGAAGCACCAGTGTCCTCAAGGCAAAGAGCCAAGGAAGCATCTCCTGATGGATCTGAACACAACCTAGAAGTCTTCCAATGAAGGCCAGAGGCTGCTTGGCCTTATCAGTTCCAACTACCAGCAGCAGTTTGGTGGTGTCCGCCCTGGCTTGCGGCTCTCGCAGCGCCCTCGCCTGTTCTTAGCCTCAGGAAGCCTAAGCCGGCCGCCTTTACTCCTTCCTCGTGTGCAGCTGCTTCGTCGTGACTCCATCACCATGTTCGAGGCTCACCTGGTCCAGGGCTCCATCTTGAAGAAGGTCCTGGAAGTGCTGAAGGACCTCATCAATGAGGCCTGCTGGGACATCAGCTCGGGCAGCGTGACCCTGCAGAGCATGGACTCGTCCCATGTCTCCCTTGTGCAGCTCACACTGCACTCCGAAGGCTTCGACACGTACCGCTGCGACCGCAACTTGGCCATGGGGGTAAACCTCACTAGCATGTCCAAAATACTGAAATGTGCTGGCAACGAAGACACCATCACCCTAAGAGCTGAAGATAATGCAGACACCCTGGCGCCAGTATTTGAAGCATCAAATCAGGAGAAAGTATCCGACTATGAAATGAAGTTCATTGAATTGGATGTTGAACAACTTGGAACTCCAGAGCAAGAATACAATTGTGTGGTAAAGATGCCTTCTGGTGAGTCTGCACATATATACCGCGACCTTAGTCACATCAGAGATGCTGTTGTGCTATCCTGTGCCAAAGATGGAGTGAAATCTTCTGCAAGTGGAGACTTGGAAATGGAAACATTAAGTTGTCTCAAACCAGTAATGTTGACAAAGAGAGAGAAGCTGTTACCATAGAGATGAATGAGCCTGTTCAGCTAACTTTTGCACTGAGGTACCTGAACTTCTTTACAAAAGCCATACCACTGTCCGCTACAGTAACACTCAGTATGTCTGCAGATGTACCCCTTGTTGTAGAGTATAAAATTGCTGATATGGGACATTTAAAGTACTATTTATTTGGCTCCCACGATTGAAGATGAAGGATCCTAGACGTTCTTAAAATCAAGAAAGTAAAACTCAGTTCTTCAAAAACTGCTTCTGAGATGCATTTCTTTTATCACCAAATTTGTACCTGAGTATATATGTAGATATTATTTTCTGTAAATAACCTATTTTTTTTTCCTCTTCTCTACACTTGTTTAAAGAGGTCCAGAGTTAAATCTTGTTGCTAGCCTAGAAATACTGCCTTACCTAAATATTCTGGGTGATTTTTATAACAAAAGGGCTTGACTGTATTTTTCAATTTAAATAAAGTTATTTGAATTTCAGATGTCCCAGGACTACATTCTAGTATAAATCCATTTATGGAGATAGGTTATTTTAAGTGTAATAAGTAACCAAAACTTTTAGGGAAATTCATTGTCAAATATTTTAGTATGTAATTTGAACTCAAAAGCAAACAGGAGAGTAGACAATTACTTTAATCATTTTAGCAAAAATTCACTTTCAGAAACCTGTTGTGCCCAAAGGCATGTGGTTCATAAGGTTTGGATTGTTACAGGGCACTGCTTTAGCAGAGAGAATCAAGAGGCTTGGAAGCTTTGGTAAATCTACACAGGGGCCTGAGCCTGAGGAATCTTCTCTTTTTTTTTTTTTTTTTTTTCCTTCAGAACCAGGGATTGAACTCAGGCCCTTGGCTTGCCAGGCAAGCACTTACTCTACTGAGCCATCTCCTCAGCCCCATAAGGAGTCTTAACTACAAAAATCTATTGAGTGTCCTTGTTTAGGACTTCACTCCCTTAAAAGATGAAATGATGTAAATCCTGTGGATGGTGGATCAACTTAGAAAGTGCAGACTGCAGTTATGAAGGAACACACAGAAATACACTCCTCACTGCTGAGGGGCGCCACACGTTTAATTGGTTTACTGTTACGATGCGATGCTTTTTACTAGCGTGTTTTGTGCTTGGTGAGGACTAAGTGGCCAACATCTTTGTTGTCACAGTACCTGGACTGACCACTAGTTTATGGGGCAGTAGAACTTCTATATCTGACAGTCATCGTTGATTACTTCGTGCCATGGATCTGGGAAAGATGGGCTACATAAATGCCTAATAAGTTGTCACAGCTGTGGGGCTGTATTTGTTAGGCCCCGATTCAAGCATACTTTATGAGATATAAACTATCTTAATAAACTTTAAAAAAGAAAAAAAAACTACCCAACACTACCCTGAAACTACCTCCAAATGGTGGTAATTCAAATTCAACAAATAAACTTTGTTGAATAAATTTTATAAAAGAAAATTAATAGAATAAATGAGATAATTCTTCTACTGTGCTTTCAATCTCATCCTCTTTCCTCTCTGATAGGACTCTATGTATTCACTGCTCTGTATTCTCCAAGATTTGATCTACTTTTCCCCTTCCCTTATCAGCCAAGTTACCTGCAGCATTTCCCTCTGCCAGTCCTTCAGCCCATGCTACGGGCTGGATTGGGAGCATCCCCCAAAGGCACATGTGGAAGTCCCGGCCACCATCCTAGGGCCCTGCTGGGGGTCTCTAGTAGGTGGGGCCTAACTGAGGAGTCTGGTTATTGGCAGTGTGCCCTCAAGGGCAACAAGAGCCCAACCTCTGTTTTTCCTTCTTCTCTTCTCCTCCCCTCTTCTTCCTCTTCATCTTCTCCTTCTTTTTCTTCTTCTCCCTCTCTCTCTCTCCCTCTCTCTCTCTCCCTCCTCCTCTCTCTATTCTGTTGTTATCACTACTTCCAAGTTTCCTCTGCCATGAATTCCCTCCAGGCTCTATCCTCTTGCCTGCCACAGGACCAAATGAAACAGGAACAAGTGACCACAGACTAAAACCTTGGGAACCGTGAGCCAAAGTAACCCTTTCTGCTATTTATACTGCTTATCGCAAGTGTTTCGTTGTGGTAATGGAGAGCTAACACAGCCAAATCTAACTTTTATAGTTTGTACACAGGGGCAAAAATGAAGAAGATCCCACAACTTGGACAATGAGTTCTATTAGGAAGTTAAACAAAATTCAACATATAATGAATTAGCAGAAAGACCTAACAACCTCAGGCCAGAGTATGTACCAATTAAAGGAATCAAAAGGGATGACGGTGAAGTTCAGTCATACAGCAAGTGCTCAGCATAAGGAGACCCTGAATTCAGTTCCTGGCACCTAAAGAAAAAGATGTCAACAGCAAGAGGAATGGCACACATTCTCAGGTTGGCAGCATCCACCTGAGAGAAAAAGTTCCTCAGCCAGCAGGCTTTAAGCTCTTTAATTGCAAGGTAAGCAGCCCAGTGGCTGGCACAGTTCACTCCATAATTCCCTCCCTTTGACTCCTTCTGATGTCATGTGGCCTCCTACGTGGGTTTCACGTCAGTTGTTCCTACAGAGCAAGCATCTCATTTTAAGACACTTCAGGAAGAGAGGTGCAGGTAAGTCCACCTGCTTAGCCAGGAAGAGAGGTTTTCATATAGAAAACCTGAAAGTTCATAAGCAAATGTAAGCACTAAATGATTTCTAAAATAGAGAAACCATTCATTGCAACAGAAGCCATAAGTCAGCACAAAAAAAATACTGTTACCATCAAGAAGTTCCATGAAGATGTAGATGTTGGATCATTCTCAAATATCAAAAGAGCTTTCTGCATTAAGTAAATTGCTTTGGACAGCTTATTTTTCTTTATTTTATTCATTACGCTTAATTCTGCAGAAACAAAAATATTTTCATAAAATGGCAAGATAAAAACTATCATTCAGACTTGGGAAAGGGGGGATATAGGTTATCCCAAACTTAATTACCTGTGAAGCAGCCAGTGTTTCCAGATTGTTTTAACTTCTCTGAACTTTTGGTAGAAATATTTTCACTAATAGGAGAAACCTGCAAAACTGAAGGAGATGACTGTCGTTATAATTAGGTTTGTGTCTCAGGTAGGGTATATTTTTAAACATTGAAGAGTAACTATTTGTAAAATTACTGCTTCCTCTGTGTGTGGCATCTTTTGTTCATTAATAGATAAAAATATAAGTAACTGTGGTGCAATTTTACTGTCAAAAACTTTTTTTAGCTGGCTGTGGTGGTGCATGCCTGTAATCTAGAACTGCAGAAGGCTGAGGAAGGATGATTACAATTTCAAGCCCAGCTTGGGCATCTCAGCAACTTGGCAAAATCTTGTCTCAAAAATAAAATATCAGAAAAAGGCTGTGGATGTGACTCAGTAAGAAGACCCAGGGTTCAATCTCCAGCACCAAAAAGTAGAAAGAAAAAAAATTAAAAACCTCTTTTGTTTGCCACCTTTTAACTCAAAGCATAGAAGTTCCAAGTTACAAAAAAAGAAAAAAAAAAAAAAAAAAGATTGTCCATATCATCTTAAATAAAATTACCCTGAAGGTGAACTCTGTTCACTTCCTTTTCCATAAAGGATACATTGCAAGTCCTGATCCCAACCAGTTCTCAGAACTGCCCGCAGCTTTTCTGGGCAAACTGTGTCACCATGGTGTTTGCAAAAGCCCCCCACTACCATGTAAACCCAGGAACAGGCCCGTGCAAGCCTGTTAGCTAAAGCACAGGCAGCTCAGCTATGGGCGCAGGTGCCCAAGCGGGAGTGCCCAGCGTGGCCATCCAGCTGGAAGAATGCGGATGAGGGGAAGAGGATGAGCTGGACCCCATGGAGATGGAGACGGCGGCGGTGACACTTGATTCTCAGGTCACGAGACCGGGCGGTATTTCCTTTCTGTCCCTGGAGGGATGCAACTGTGCAGCAGTACAAATCCCTTTTTTGAGTTTTACTAACTTGTGCTAATAATGCACTTGAGGCATCGTGGCTTGGCGACTGACAAGACAAACACACACCCTGCAAGGACATGAGGTCTCCTTAACAGCAAAGGGCAAGGAAACGTATCTGCATGCGGCTGGCAGTGCAAAGCAGAAAATAATGCTGCATTCTCTCGGTACCAGGGTATTGTGAGTGCGACTTAAGCTTTCCTGATTACAATGGAGATAAGATGGCAACAGTACTCGCAATGCCACATACAGATGAGGCACATTTAATACGATGGTCATCAACAGGCAACCACTGTCAAGTTCCTGAATACGAATGACAAAAATAGTATTTAGGAACATTCATCTGGCAGCGGCATGCTGTAGTGAAGAAAGCAGGCACAAAGTGACAATCTGTGCTAGGGTGGCAGGCCTACAAAGAGAAGAAAAACTCAAAAGGAACCAGAGCACTGAAAGAAATAATAACTAACTCCACATTTAAAATTGAGCACAAGTGTATCATCAATAACTTTAAGCGGTTTTGGACTTTAAAAAAAAAAAAAAAAAAAAAAACGCATTTGTCCTTCAAAGACTCGTGGATGTCAATTAGAAAACCCACGACCCAGCAGCAGCCCGGCGAGGACGTAACCCCTACCTCTCCACTAAGGAAGATAATTGTGCTATTAGGAGAGTCACCGGCCAGTTTCTTAAAGAAAACCCAACACAATGCTTCTATTCATGTTCTGCAATACATTCCTGAGCCACATCTTTTCAACCCAAAGAGTGCTTAAGAATATTATTCTAAGGAACCTCATTTAAGCATCAGAAAATCTTTATCTAGTTTTCAATTTATTTTTGATGACACAGGGATATTTTAACATTATCTGCTTCCCTCCTTACCCAGCAGGTCATAAAGGAAACAGCTTTTCAGACTATTTAAATGTTTAAAATAAAGTGTAAAAGAGTAACAATATACAAGGATAAAAATGATGAAAACAGGGATCTTGATAGGAACTAAATGCTTACAATGGAATTAAAATATCAATAATTTACTGTAAGTCAAACAATCATAATTTTAAACAGCTTCCTGAGTGATCTGATATGCAAAGTATATAGCAATAATAAAAAGTATCAAATGGTATGAGAAAAGAAAAATAATCAAAGTTATCTGGAAAACAATAAGAATAAAATTACAAATTAAATTGGTTCTATATTTCAACTGTGCTTCTCACAGACTCTGTAGTTATTTGGTTTAATGACTACTACCTTGCAGTTGGTCAAGAAGTAGAACAGCTATTCGGTGCTGAGCTTGAATTAATTCAAGATGTAAATCCATCACAAAACTATTTTCGGAGATTGGTTTGTAAGTGTCTCCATCTACATCATGGGAACACTTAGACTAAGCAGACCAAAATAAAACAGAAAGAAACACAGTTATCAAAGCACACTACAATAAAACAATGTAGTTAACAAAACACACTAAAAATAGCTGTACCCTATTATTTTACTCAGGTGACTGTCTCACTCAGAGGTATTAAATTCTGCCCAGTTTGTGACTCTTTGCAACTGCCTTGCTTGTAATAAATACGCTCTTAGAATTCACCAGTGTCCTCTTCATTGACAAGCTCAGAGATTACTTATTTGCCTTCATGTCTTCTGGGAAGAGGGGTATTTCTGGCCTGCGAGAGGAACACTACCACAAGCCATGCTTTGCTAACCTACCTGAAGGGCAGCTCTCCTCCCGGTTCCGTAAAACATCAAGCTAATGTCAGACATTTCCGTCCTTACCTTGACATAGCAGTGGTCGATCACCGACGATCCATCTGGCAAAGTAGTTAACATGCAATTCAGATTCATTCTATCAATTGCCTTGTCAAGCAGTTCATAAGCAAAAAACAACTGTTCCTCAGGTGTTTTCTAAAATAATTTTATAAACAAAAAGAAAATGAAAACTTAAGAAAAATCTCCATGTTCTTTTAACAATAATCCAAAATCAAATAACAGAAATTTAAATAGTGAACCCAAAGCAGCAGTGCTGTGTCTTGACAATCTGACTAAATGACAAGAACTATCAATGCAGATGAAAACAATTAATACATAGCATCATTTTTCCAAGTATAAATTAAATTTCGTTCACAAATATATATGAAACTTCTATCTACTGTTTTCAAAATTCTGGTTCTAACAAATGTACACATAAATTTTAAAAATAGAGCCAATATAATTTGTCTTATACATTTAATCTCTTAGCTAAAAATTTTGATAGAATCCATCAAATTCAATGGTCTACCTCATAATTTTCAAAACTCAAATAGTTTCCAAATATAATTATTCTCACAGGGAAACAAACACAATAACTTAAAGAGCAATCAGTTTTGTTCAAGCTTTAAATTTTCTCAATTTTTCCAGAACTTCCTAAGGAAATAAAGCATATATATATATATATATATGCACATGTGAGTTCGCTCTCAAATATATACAAGATATCCATTATATATGTAACGGATATATTCATCAATTAAGCTGAAACCTTCTGTATAACTGCCCCCTATCCTTGAGCTTGGTTTTACTATTTTTTGCATGTTTTTAAATATTTACTCTATGTGTTCTTGTAACAGTATACAGTATCTCTGTGCATACTCTATAAATTCTCTTATAAAATTCCACAGGCCGATTTTATTTTTTTTTCCCTCAACCATATGTAGCTGAAACTTATTCAAGCTGGCATATGCAACTCAGTGAGTCGAGCAGGGTTTGGTTATGAACGCAGAACTACTCTAGCTGTTCCAAGCACAGAATCAGAAGTGTCCCTCGCCGTTGGAAAGCATGTGGCATCAAAGATCAAGAAAGTGCCAGAAATGATTTTGCTTCACGTGATTCTCACGAGCTCACTCAGGAGCTTCCACAAATCTAAGAATCCAGGAGGCAGGTGACAACGACCTCAAGCACCTACTGGACTGTGCACTGAAACAGTGGGACACAGAAGCCTGCTCAGTGTGATTGGTAAGTTCCATCTGCCACTGCAAAGTGAGAACTGTCATTCCTCTTCTACATAACAAATTTGTGCAAATGTCCCCCTGTTGGAAGATTAACCACCTAGAGCTATGTGGCAGTAGATGCTGAAGTGTAATTTCACATCTCTTCACATCCCCTGTAACTCAGAGGGCACTACAGGCAGGGAGGCAGGCAGGCCACACTGACCCTAGTTCACTCGTCCTCAGAGCTGCCAAGGACAGGTGCTAAAGAACACGCCACAATCACCCCTCACCTGCGGAGGGGCATCTGATTGCTATCCCTACAGACACTGCAGCGCACGGAACATGCCTGTGACTACAGATGTATTTTCTTCTTTTTCTATTCATCTAAGACTCATGAGCAGAAGACTGGCAGACATTCTTATGCAATTACAAGAATAAAAGGATCACTTTTAAACTTTTACAGTAGGTATAACATTCACGGGGTCCGCAGACAATCCTCTTGATCAGACGGGGACAATTTCTTGCAGCTCTAACTACTAAGAGTTACACTACAGATTTTCAAATGTTAAGTCTGCATTCCTAGAATATAATATACACAATTTTATTATATATAACCAAAAGATTCAAAGGCTTGACGAGCTTCCTAAGCAACCCAAGTAGTAGAAAGCAAATAACCAGCCAACCTGAGGACAGGCCCAAGGTTTTAAATCTTTATTTAGGACACAATTTCTCCTATCTACTCTTCTCCCAGACCCGAGTTGAGATATTTCCTTATAGAAACAGGTTTTCCTAGTTACACCTTTTCCTAGGAGGCGGCTTCGGTAGGGTCTGACTTCAGGTAGGAGTCCGAGCCACCCCCATCTCTTGTCCCTGGGTGGCTCCAGCCCGGAAGCTACCTGGTAACTAAGCTCGCCAACCCTGCTGTAGCGCCCATTTTAAGAGAATCGTTCTAGTGTTCAATTCCCTATTCTGGCACTTACTTTACTTTCTTGTGAGCTGTGAAATATACTGAGAATATCTGTTCATTTCTGTCCAAAATTTCTGTATTTTAGTAGGAAGACTCATCTAGGTTGCCACTTGGCCAGAAAACAGGGGTCTATCCGGATACCTCTGTAGCATCAAAAGCTTCAAGACCGCTCTCCCCACACACGCACACTATTGCCATTACCATGGCTACCACACTGGCTTCCTCTCAGCATCTCCACCACCAGCCCAGCTAACAGTTGATTCAAACATGCTCCAAGTATGGGGCCAAATGCTTTACCAACACTAATCATTTGTCAGCCCCGTAAGATATGCTTATTAGTTATCATAAATTATTGAAGACTATTTAAACTGTTCTAAGGGGGCCAGCGAGACAGCTCAGTGGACTAAGTGCCTGCTTAGGCAAGCACAGGGGCTGGGTTTGATCCCTGGCACCACATGCCGCTCCGGCCATGCCCCTGGGCACGCTGAGCATGTGACTGAGTCTGGGTGTGGTGGCACACGTATTCCCAGTGCTGGGGAGGCTGTAAAAAGGAGGATCACTACAAGCTTGAGCTGCGCTGCATAGTGAGACCCTGCAAAAAATACAAAAAAAAAAAGCTTAGGGCTGGGGATATAGCTCAATGGCACAGCACCTGCACTGCAAGCAAGAAGTCATGAGTTCAATTCCCAGTACCAAAAAAAAGTTCTGTCATGTAATCACAATAGTACCTCATATGTATTTTAAATAGTAGCTTGTCAACCCAAATGCCCATCAGTTGAGAAATGGATAAAGAAGATGTGGTATTTTTACATGATGGAGTATTATTCAGCCATAAAAAGGGATAAATTTGAGGCTTTTATTGGTAAATGGATGCAACTAGAGACCATACTCTTAAGTGAAATAAATCAGACCCACATGTGCAAACACCGGTTTGTCTCCCTAGTGTAAGAACCTGAAGGAGTGAATAAAATGTGAAGGGTACAATAGACACTGTGACGGGAATCAATCTGTCCAAAAGGAGGAAATTACTGAGATGAGAAGGACAGGAGAGGGAACGGGGGAAAGAGATACAGCTATGTAAGTACGCAGGATCGCTTGGGTAATTGTCCTGTGGATTTCTGCTGGTCTGTGGAGAGGAGCAGTTAATAGTTTTTGTCTTCTTTTTCTTTTCTTTTTTTTTTTCTCTTTCTCTTTTCTAATTTCATGACTTTGTTTCTCCTTTTCTTTCTTTGTCTAATTTTGCATGCATATACCTGGTAATCTAAACCACTAAACTGAAGAAAACACTATGCAATACAACCAACACTGTCAAATTCACATTATTTTGCTCAGTGAAATTCTGTATCATTTCTAATTTTTTATTACTTTTCATATTCTCTTTAAAAAGTAAGTACATACATAAAATCAAATAGTGGCTCACACACGCACACAACAGGTAACGCGTCCCACCACAGGCTCTTCCCGCAAGCATGCGCACTGTCTACTCTCTCTTCAGTGCTCAGCCTTTCCCCCACTTCCCTCCCCTCAGTGGGCTATGAGAACCCTAAGTTGAAATTCAATGATCTACAGGAAACATACAAAACAAAAAAGTCCCACACAGTCAGTAACTGCAGTATACCAGACACTGGCTTCTATACAAATAACCCATTTAAACAGGGTGACAAACCAGTGGACTGGTACTGCTGTAACTTCACAGGAGGGGTCAGCCAAGCAGTACGTGATGAAGATCTGATTCCACGCCCTGCAACAGCAAGCGCTGGGCTGCAGCGCACACCTCTGCGTCTCGTGCAGCACTCCCTTCTGTGGCCTCCAGTCACCCTCCGTGGCACAGCATGAGGGCCAGGGGATCACAGTGCTGTCATGAACGACTTGTGTCAGAATCTTGACCAAATCTCAGCTAAGGGAGGATGCACTCTTCAATTTAAATAACAATCACTCAAGAATGGGCTAGTTTCTTTGTTGTGGGAACACTGACACCTTCTAACAAATCCATTTCACTTGGTGGTAAGAGCCAAAAGAATTCCCGTCTCCAGCCAAAAGCTGGTGCTTTCCAACTTCCACTAGGAGCCCTGTTCCTACCGAAGGTGTCTCAGAGAAGCAGAGCCCATCCACGGAGCCATTGGCTTTCAAATTCTTCACTGGACTTGAAGGACTTTTAAGAGCCTCATACCTGAATGAGCCTGACTGAAGACTGTCTGGAGTGAGTGAGGAGGGGCTGTGTGTGTCGAGAACTGCAAGAGACCCCCAAGGAACTACTTCAGATGCCTGCTGCCCCTCCCCACTCCAGGGTATGTCAGGCTCCAGGCCCGTGACAGGCCTTCTGAGGGGACGCAGAGCAGCATGAAGAACTCAAATTTGTAGCCCTGAAGCTTAAAACTAGAAGATAAACATTTATATGAGAAAGAAAATTCAGAATTAACACCCCTCTTCATTCTATCCATTCCTGACATTTGATTGGTACCCAGTCAAATTAATTTTAGCAACTATGGAAGAAGTGTCAACAAAATTAAATTTTTAAATTAGCACTTGTTTTTCTGTTTCAAAGGGCTACCACAGGTGAAGGTGATAGAGGCAGGTGACATATTATTAAAGGTCCACTGAAGTTTCTGTATGTCCATACACTAGAAAAATATCATTTATAAAACACTGAAATACATGTGTATAAATGCACTTTGTGTAAATATACTGGGAACTCTTAAATCAACAGGCAACACAGCCCTTGAGGGCAAAACACCTAATTCAAACACCACTTACGTGTGACTACGAACAGGAGTGCTGTGAAAATGAACACGGTGGCTACACAAATCAGCTTAGGTTGCAACTCACAAATATGACACTGAGAGTGAAAAGCAAGCAGAAGACAAATACACACAGTATGACACTGTTTGAATAAACTTTAAAGTAGGCAAAGCAACATTCTCTACTGCCCGAGAATGCATATGTAGGTAACAAAGCAGTAAAACACCTATAATCAGCATTCCTGAGGTCAGGAGTGAGTTCTAGATGGGGGAAAGGTCAGGAATACGGGAGGAGCGGAGGGGGTCGCTTCGTCTGGGAGACTGCCCTCCAAAGCCTTGGGCTCCCTATCTGCAGACTCTGCCAAGCACAGGGCAAAAGCAGATGGAACACTATACTGAACATGTTCCAATTTCTTTCTTGCTATTATTTCCCTAACAACACAATAGAAGGGGCTGAGGATATAGCTCAGTGGCACAAGTGCCTGCCTGGCAAGTACGACCACTTAAGTTTGATTTCCATTACAAAAAAAAAAAGCCACCATAAGAACTATTTCCAGGGTTTGCCAAATACTTCAGCAGATTAAAACGCCTGCAAGCAAACCCAGGGGCCAGGCGGTAGATCCAGGACCTGCGTGCTGCCCCCTCCCCTCCCCTCCCGCACGCACACACTGAGATGGCAATTGAGACTGGGTGTGGTGACGTGCGCCTATAATCTCAGTTCTTGGGAGGCTGTAACAGGCGGACCACTACAAGTCCAATCTAGTAGTGAGGCCCTGAACACCCTGTAGGCCCTCCCCTAAAATACAAAAAAAAAAGAACTTTTTCCATAACACACTGTATTAGGTTATAAAAGTAATCCAAATAAGTATGTGGGAGAGACTGCCCAGGTTATATGCAAGTACTATGACATTATAAATGGGGCTTCAGCACTGTCACGGTTCAGTATGGGTCGGAGGCCTGGAACCAATTTCCCATGAATGCTAATTATACTGTAACACTTTCTTTCCTAAGTTAGCAGATGAAGAAATGGCCCTTCATTACAACTGTGCTCACTTCACAAGCACTCATAGTAAAATGAGGAAATAATTTTTTTTTAATGTATTTAGTAAAGAGTCTACAGGGTCTCACTATACAGATCAGACTCATAATGATCCTGTTTTCAGCCTCCCAAGCGCTGGGATTACAGGCTTGTGTCACCATGCCCAGTCTCAATCAGCATCTCTGCACACCCCAGTGACAGGGCCAGTAACGCACAGCAGGGATCAAACCCCCGTCCCTTTACCTGCCTAAGCAGGCACTTTAATCCGCTGAGCTATCTGGCCAGCCCTGCTCTTTGTAACTGTAGGCCATATACTTCAAATGGATTATTTTAACTATAGCAATTATAAGAGTAAACATTTAGCAAAGGGAAAATGCTGATAAAGTGATCTTTAAAAAAGCTACTAAGAATGCTACTATGTCTAAAAAATGTAAGACCTGAAGACATGGAAAGATAGTATTTCTATCAGTATACAACTTACAGATATTTGGGGGTTTTTTACATCTTCAGTTTAAAATTATACTTTAGAAATTAAATCAGGCAAAACAAACTATGACTCGCCAGCTTCCTGTCTTGTATAGTATTGAGAGCAGTCTACGCAACACTAGCATCCCAAGTTGATAGTCCACTGGAGTTCAAAGAGTTTTTGTTCTCCAATAATGGAGCGCGCGGTATTCTGTATCTCCTTACAGCACCACGGCACTCAAAAATAAGCCAATGCTTCAGAGACATCGCACTGTGAAAAAAGGCATTGTGCTTCCAAAGTCACTTGGGATGCTTGACCCTGGCATTCTTTTCTGAAGCTCAGTGCTTAGCATTACCTGGGACAGTCTGCAAATGTCATTCTAGATTTTGCCTGTAAACAAATGAATATTTATCACCTGTACAAGGAAGTTCCCACAGTACACTGGGTAAAGCAGTTCCCCAGACTTCCACTTGGATCTACAAGGATACAACCCATCAGAAATAACTCAAACATCATTTAAGGAGAGGAGAGCCACTGGTCTCCTGCAGCCCCTCTCTCCTCCTGCGCTCCCAGAGGCTCCCACCCCCACAGCCTCAGCTGATCCCACCACACTCCAAGCAGATGGGAACTCATTCAACAGAAGCACTGCTGAGCAACCTCACTGTATAAATCTATGCATCACAATGCACTCAAGAGAGTGTGCGAGTAAACAGAATCATAAACCTGGTTAAAAGTTGGTAAACTTAACTTTTTGCTAGAGTAAAATTCAAAGGTAAAAAAAAAAGTCCTCAAAATTTTAAATATATACAGGTCATAAATTTATAAATCAAATTTCATTTACAAAGCTGATATGGAAAATAGCTATATTTGTTGCCATATGTTATAATACCTTTAATATTGGGAGCACTTCCAAGATTCCTCTGGGGATCCCATAGACTTCTTCATAATCTTTTCTTAGGGATGTGTCTGGAAATGAGAGAAGGAAAAGAAGGTAAAAAGGAAGGGGGAAGAGGAGCAAAAGGGAATAAAAGGAAAGAAGGGAAGAGAAATGAAACAGAGAGAAGCAGAAACAAAGAGAAAGAAGAAAGGACCGGGGGAAGAAAGAAAAATGTAAGTATGGAAGAATAATAATCACAGAAAGCATGCTAAACTGGTCATACTTTAATTGTTCAATTATTTAATGATCTTAGAAATGATCCAGTCTTAGAATTGGACTGAATGCCCAACTGTTTATTTCATGTAACTAAACATTTTCTCTCTGAAAAGCAACATGAAAGCATCTTGCGCACCCTGATAGGGACCCATGGCACACGCCTGTAGCTACTTAGGAGGCCAAGGCAGGAAGATGCCCTGCATCCAGGAGTCTGAGATGAGCCTGGGCAACATAATCAGACCCATCCCCGAAAAAAGAAGCACTTTGAAATACAACAAACTAAATCCAGTTCTCTTGATTAATGTAATATGATAGAGGTTGGTCTTCCTATACCCATTACAAAATTTATTTTAAAACACTCAGAAAAGACCAGCACAGAAGCCTTCATGAATTGAGACAAAATATCAGAAAAGATCACTGTGAATGAGAGAAGTATCAATTATAAATATTTACATAGCAAAATTAATTTTTTTTTTGTATTTTACTACAAAGTCTACAGGATCTCACTGCTAAATCGGACTCATAGTGATCCGCTTGTGTTCAGCCTCCCAAGTGCTGGCGTTACAGGCACACATCACTACCCCAGGCTCATTTACCATCTCAGCACGCCCTGGGGGGTGGGGCCAGTACAGCATGCCAGGGATCCAACCCTGGCCACTGGGCTCTGCCTAAATATGTGCTTTAATCCGCTGATCTATATGGCTAGCCCTTTAATTTCTTACCTTAAAATTTATTTAATAATTCAACACTGAAATTCATATTACTTTGTTAAGTGAAAATCTGTATCAATTGTAATTTTTTCTGTTTTAATTCTGATTTGTACCCTTTAAAAAATAAAAATAAAGGGCCAGGGAGATGGCTCAGTAGAATAAGCATTTCCCTGGCAAGCGCAAGGGCCTGAGTTCAATCCCCAGTTGCACAAAAATAAATAAATAAATAAATAAATAAATAAATATTTTCTTTAAAAATTCAAGGTAATAACATATTACTTAATAAGGAACCTAAGAAGTATCTTGAAGCAGACAATCATAATACACAATGTTTTATGTGGTAATAAAGTGATGAGAATAATACTTAGAAATTTCATCTTCATATATGTAAACGCAAGCAACCCTTCTTTATATCAACATAGAAGTTGATAAGTGGATTGTTTGAATATCGATTAATTCCTAGACATGAAACATTGTAACAAAAAATTGATACTTCACACTGTGCTTGATCTGTTTATAATTAAATTGCATACAACAATAGTTTTCTGAAAGTAACTGAAGCAACAGAATCAAGTAAGGATTACATTTTAAAAAGAAGAAAAATAAAATTGAGTCTTTTGCTTCCAGTAACAAATAATCTAGAAAAATTCTCCTGGCTGGAGAAAAGCAAAAAATATGTTTCTGTTTTTGTTTTTAAGATCTGGGGGGCCAGTGAGATAGCTCAGTGGTCTAAAGCACCTGGTTAGGCAAGCTCACACAAGTGCAGGGACCACAGTTCATTCCCAATACCGCATGCTGCACCAGCCCTGCCTCCAGGGTGGGCTGAGCAGGCCATAAATAAATAAATACATAAATAAATAAATACATAAAAGCTGCAGGTTAAGAAAGTAGTGAAACAATAAAGACAAAGTGGGAAGGGAGCGCACAGGGCAGAACGACAGGAGACCTGTGTCTGTCCCCCCCACCCCACCCCCGGAGCTCAGAGGGAAGCTGAGCAGCTAGGCGGTGACTTGACAGCCAGGAAGGGCTGAGGCAGGAGAGTTAGAAAAGTTATAAATACAAACAAAAATAAAATCTAGGACGCGGATCCATTGCACAGATATTTGCTGGAGTTCCCACACCGCATCGGCCTGTGGGGGCGAGGTGGGGGGCACCAGCCCATGGGGGCATCAGCCCATGGGGGTGAGGTGGGGGGCCACCAGCCCCGTGGGGGCGAGGTGGGGGTGGGCACTGGCAACCTAAACACGTTCTCTTCCTTCCAGAAGCACCAGCTGTCCTGAGAAATGAAGAGGGAAAAAATGAAAGGGGTAAAGAGGAGGAATGGAAGGCAAAAAAATAAAGAAGAATGAGAAAGGAGAGAAAGAGGAGTAAGCGTAAGTAGAAATGGAGAAGGGAAACATCAGGAGGAAAAGGGAAAAACATGGGCCACCAAAGCATCCAGTGTACAACCTTTTCCTTTTTCTTTTTTCTTTTTTTTTTTTTTTTTGGGGGGGGGGCAGAACCGGGGATTGAACTCAGGGCCTTGTGCTTGCCTGAGAAGCATTTATTCCACTGAACCATCTCCCTGGCCCTCTTCTTTTCTTTCTTTCTTTTCTCTGTTTTTTCTTTTGAGACAGGGTCTCACTATGTAACTTGGGCTGGCCTTGAACTCACTTTGTAGCCCACGCTGGTCTCGAACTTGCAACAATCCTCCTGAGTGCTGGGATTAGACACGTGCCACCACACCTGCGTTAGCATCCCTTGAGGAGACCTCTCTAGTTCCTCAATGCTGGCTGTGTGGTGAATAAAGCACGACGCCAGATCGCCTAGCTTCCATTCATAGACATCATCCTGTACCCTAATGTACGCTTATATATTCCCGTTTGTAGACTGAGATATTCACAGCCTCATATTCTTCAATATTTTACCTAGAGACTTTTTAAATTTTCCTCTTGGGCTTCCTAAAATCTCTAATATCTCAGTTAATCTTAACGTGACCTCTGCTACCACCACAAAGTCAATGTCTTCCCTTTTACAGCTGTGAATCACTTCGTGTATCTGCCACAGAAGATGCACCCACTGAAAGAGAGAACACAGGCGGCGGGATCAATTAAAATGTCTTACATTTTAGCAAAGTCACATTTTCCAAAACTTTGAAATCACCAGGTAATCAAAATGAAATGTCACGTAGTTCTCCTTAGTAATGTATCTTAGTCATAAATGATATAAAGTGGGCTGGGAGATAGCCCAGCAGCCTAAGTACCTGCCTGGCAAGTACAAGGTCCTGAGTTCGATCCCTAGTACCACAATAAACAAACAAATAAATAAATGAGTGATTTCAAAAGATGCTATTTAATGATAAATCTGTTAATATATAAATTCATAAAGAAGATTCACTTGTTTATAGTCTGCATATTCATAATGGCAAATTCATGATGTACTACTTTACACATCAGTTAATATTATTTGAGTATTATCTGCATCCTCAAAGTCATTCTCTCCTCAAGGCAGCTATGCGTGGTCACCATCAAGGTCTTCCAGGTTTCCAGGCTGCACTCTAGGTGCCTCACGAACTGACTTTCATGCCTGTGTTCACAGAGTTCAGCACAGAAAACCACCTATCGCCCTTTGCACCTTAAGATGACAAAACAATATTCATGCACCCGCATCATTACTTAAGAAAGTACATGACTTACAAAACCTCACCTGTGCATGCTAATGAAGCTACTCGTAGGAGACTCAGTCAGTAGAGCTGAGCCGGACCATCTGTCTAATGCTTTCAGGCTACTCACATGTTCAACTGTCCTCCCCATGAACCAAACAGCTTTCCAAGTAGTCTAAAAATATTATTGCAGAGGAAGCACTGAAACTCTTACTTGTATTCTCTATTTTGAATCCTATTGAATTTATCTAAGCTCACATGACGTGGGACACACTGTATTTATTCCTTCCTTTAAAACAGAAATATTCTCCCACACTCCGCAAAACAAAACCAGGGCAGGCACACAGGAGCATGTTTTTCAAAAGACTCACTCATTACTGGAAAGATAACTTCTTAACATACATATCTGTAAATGATGTGATTATGCAAGCGAATAAGAAAATCTAGATTTGAAATGTATAAGCAATTTAGATTAATAAGAGGGAAAACATGTTAAAGAAACACAAGATAAAGAATACATACTTTGCTAGTTGTGATTTTCTGGGTGACTTTTGTGTAGTCATTTCTGGACAAACTGATCCGATGCACTCCTGGTTTACACTTTTGCCATAAGAACATTATCATGTCCACAACAATTTCTTTATCAGGCTGAACATTCTGGAACCCAAAGTAATAAAAGTAAATGAATAAAAATAGAAAGAGACAGAAATACGACATTACTGTGTTTCAGGGACACTCTCAGCGCGTTAAAGGAACAACTCATTTAATCTTCATACCAACTCCATAAACTGAGTATTACTACTGTCACCTCTACTTCATGGATCGGCAAACTGAGGCACAAGAAGAGGACATGATTTTTCCAAACATGAAATGACCAGAGAGTGGCAGATCTGAAGGACTGACACCCAAACAATCTAGCTCAAGTACTATTTCTGTCTCTCAAAGAAGAAAAGTCCCAAACATCTGTAGGCACATCTGTACATCAGTGAGTCTCATTCAAGCTTGAAATTTATTTATGTTTCAATTTTTATATATCTTGCATTAAAATAATAAAGAATTAGTGAATAGGAAGGAAAGGCATTATAACCTGAGAGGAAGTTAGGAGTGGATGAAGGACATAGATAAAGACAGAGAGAAAAGGAAGAGACCTTCACACTTGGTATCAACAAATACTTCAAAAGGAGGATGTCGCTCTCAAATCAAACTGGCTCTTATAATGATGTAGCAGAAAACGCCCCTCCCTCCAGCCAATACATTTCAGTTTATTAGCTGCCCAGGTAACAGTTCCTATTTCAGTTCCAGTCGCCAGGATGCACAGCTGCTCACTATGATGCACACTGCAATCATTCTGGGAGTGATTTTTGGTCCATACCTATCAGTGTAAATAAATATGCCTCCAAATCCCAGGCATCATTTTAGTGTTTCTGCTTGTTGCAATGGTCAAGCTCCATCGTCAGCTTGTTAGACTGGGTAATTAGGAAATTACACTTCTGGGTGGACTTGTGAGGATGTTTCCAAAACAGCTGGCATGAAGAACAGCAAACAATGGGGAGATTCATCCTGAAGGAGGGTGGCACCAATCCAAGGTAGAGGAAAAGGCCCAGCCAGCACAATGCTCTTGTTTCCTCTCCATTTCCTGGCTCCCATGAGGTGAGCAGCTCTCTTCAGACACACCTTCCACCATGTTTCTGTCTCCCCACAGTCCTGACACAAAGAAGCTGAGGGATCTTGGACAGAAACCATGACTCAAAGTGAACCCTGCCTCCTTTACTTTGATTTCTCAGATACAATGGTAACTCAGCTCACAAGCTTAATTTGTTTTGATTATTTTGGAGAAGATGGCTGCATTTGTGTTTATGTAGGGAAGATGGCCTTGATTGTGTTTGTCATCTGATGTAGAGTATGAACAGAAGCAAGATTTTATGAACACAAAACAAGTCTGGGAACCAAGATGCCACTGTATTTGGTCACATTAACAAAAAGCTGACTAACACAGCTCTTTTCAAAAAAGTAAAACTAGCCAGACATGTGGCTCACACCTGTAATTCCAGCATTTGGGAGGCTGAGGCAAAAAGATCACTGAGAGTTTAAGCTCAAGGCCAGTCTGGGCTATAAAGTGAGTTGAAGCTATCCTGAACTAGTAAAATCCAGTCTCAAAATGACAAGAAAATAAAAAAGTAAAGTTCCTTATTAAATTTGAATTATAAAGGTAATGAATTTATGATTAAAATATTCCAAATTGAGTTTCTTTGAGGCAACTCTAAAATTTAATTTGATATATATCAAACTTTAGAATATACTTGAGAACATAATAGAGATCCATAGTAATAGGTATTTATTGAATTGAATTCAGTAAAACTAAGATATGTCTGGTTTGTTGTTTTTTTTTTCTGGTATCAGGAATTAAGCCCAGAGCCTTTACACATCTCCAGTCACAGTGTGTGTGTGTGTGTGTGTGTGTGTGTGTGTGTGTGTACATGTGTGTTAAGATGGGATCACACAAAGTCAGCCTACTAACTTGCTCAAGGTGATCCCTACTCTTCTGCCTCAACCTGCCGAGTGCTGAGGTTACTGGCATGGACCACAAAACCTAGTTCATCTATTCAGTTTTTAAAGGTGGACAGATGAAAGTTCCTTACACTTTTAAGCCTTGATTGCTATTTTTTGTTAAGTTCCCCATTATAATTCCATTTGCTACCAAAAACCTTTCTTTCCAAAATTAAATACTTGTCATAGATTTTGACACATTCCAATAAACCCAGAAGAAACAGAAAATAATTTTTTTAATATATTTAGTACAAGGTCTCACTACACAGATTGGACTTGTAGTAATTCTCCTGTTTTTAGCCTCTCAAGCGCTGGGATTACAGGTGCCAGTCTCCTGAAAATATTTTAATAGTAAAACTTTCCAAGTATCTTACTGAGTTTCACTCCATGGGAAAAAGTAAATACACTGCTCTATAATTGTGTGATTTTCAATTTTTTTAACAATGAAGCCCAACTTTCAACTAAAATTCCTTCAAAATCCCTAAACCATATTCAAAACCCATTAACATCAGGTTAGGATGCTACCCTTTGGCTTCTGAGGCACCTCAGAGAAACCTTGAGGATCCCCAGAATTCACTTTTAAAACAGTGCTACAGAAAATGCCTTTTAAAAACTCAACCATCCCTTCATGATAAAAATGCTGATGGAGATAAAGACAGAAGAGCCTTATCTCGAACTGATAAGCAACAAATCCATAGTTGACCTCACAGAGAATGTAGAAAAGCTGAAAGCATCCCCTGCCTGCAAAATCAGGGATGAGTCAAGATTCACTCACCTCTTTAATGTAGCACTCAAACTTTAGCCAGAGAAATCAGGCAAGAGAAAGAAATAAAAAGGATACAAACAGGAAAGAAGAAGTCAAATCAACTCTATACACAGATGATATAATCTTTTACATAGAAAATTCAAAAACCTCCTCCAGAAGACTCCTAGAGCTATAAATGAATTCAGCAAAGTGACAGGTACAAAATACTGCACAAAAATCAAGTGTTTCTGTACACCAGTGATGAACTAAGAAAGAAATCAGAAAAATTATCCTATTCACAACAGCTTTAAAAAGATTAAGTACCTAGGAATCTACCTAACAAAGGAGGTAAAATACTTTCATAATGAAAATTATAGTACTCTGAAGAAAGAAATTAGAAGCAATGCTAGAAAATGGAAAACCATCCCCTGTGCCTTAAGATGGGCATATATTATGCAATTATCAATATCAACAGTTTTCGTAAAACTAGATCAAAATAATCTTAAAACTTTATAGAGAGCCAGAATAGCTAAAGAAATCCTGAGCAAAAAGAAGCAAAGCAGGAGGTATTATGGTCTCAAATTTTAAGTTATAACATGAAGCTACTGCAACAAAAGCAGTACAGTACTGGCACAAACCCAGACATGTAGACCAACCAAACAGACCAGAAGATACAGAAACTACCTCAAGTACTTTTAACCATCTGATCTTTGACCAAGAGACCAAACACATACAGTGGAGAAAAGACAATCTCCTTAACAAACAATGCTGGAGACACTGGGTATCCCCATCAAAGGAATGAAGATAGACCCATATATTCCACACTCTACTAAATCAAATCAAAGTGAATCAAATACCTTGATATACAAATAGAAACATTGAGGGGGCTGAGGAGATAGCTCAGCGGTGTAAGCACCTGCCTGGCAAGCACAAGGAACCAGGTTCGACCTCTGGTACTGCCTGCCGTGTCAGCCCCAAAATCCCAGGCGTGTCATGCCAGCCACTGAAACCAGGTGTGGTGGTTCATACCCATAATCCCAGCATTGCGGAAACTGAGATGGGAGGATCATTATGAGTCCAAGCTGTGTAGCAAGACTTTGTACCAAATACATACATACATGAAACACTGAAAGTGCTGGAAGGTAAATTAAGCAAGATACTTGGGGACAGGGGCATAGGCAATGACTTGCTGCATTAACTCCAATAACACAAGAAGTATCACCAAGAATCAGGAAATGGTATGATATTATCTTAAAAAGCTTCTGCATAGCAAAGGAACAATCAACAGAGTGAAGAGATTATCTACAGAATGAGATAAAAAACTGTGCCAGTTGCTCTTCTGACAGAGCCCTAATATCTAGAGTATATACAGAACTCAAAAAATTTAACTCCCCAGAGCAAATGACGCAATGAGAATATGAGCAAATGAAATGAATACACACTTCCCGAAAGAAGAGGCTCAAGTGGTCAATAAGTACATACAAAAACATTCAACATCGTGAGCCCTTTGCGAGATGAAAATCAAAACATCTCTGGGATTCCATCTTACTCCAGAAAAAAGAGCTATGCTCAAGAACATACACACACAGAAGGAAGGAATGCTAATGCCAAGGAAGGCCGTGGGGAAAACGAGCCCATCTGCACTGCTGATGAGAATGTAAAGCAGCACAAGTGTATGGAGATTCCTCAACAAACTAAAAACAAAAATTCCACTTGATCCAACTAAGCCTTTTCTAGGTATTTAGCCAAAAGAATTAAAGACATCATACTGTCGGGCCAAGGAGATAGCTCAGTAGAATAAGCACCTGCCTGGCAAGCACAGGGCCCTGAGTTCAATCCTCAGTACTGAAAAAAAAAAAAAAAAAAAAAACAAGGAGCTGTTCAAATAGCTCAGTGGATTAAAGCGCCTGCAAGCAGGTGCAGAGGTCAGGGGTTCAATACCCAGGCCTGCAGTGCCAGCCCCACCCCCAGGGCACCCTGAGACAGCAACTGAGACTGGGCAAAGTGGCGCATGCCTGTAATCCCAGCACTTGGAAGACTGTGAACAGGAAAATCACTATGAGTCCAATCTAGTAGTGAGACCCTAAAAACCCTGTAGACCTTTCTAAAAACTATAGGAAAATAAAAAGATCATAATACAGAATAAAAAAGATGTCAAAATACATATATACCCATGCATCAGTGCAAGTCAGATTGCCAAACTCAGAAGGAGCCATCTGCTGAAGGACAGTAAAGAAAATGAGGTGTATTTACCCAAAGAAGTATTATTCATCCATAAAATAGAAAAAATTTAGGTCATTTGCAGAATGGATGGAACTTGAGGCCATAATTTTAAGTGAAATAAGTCAGATGCAGGTTTCTCTTATATAAGGAACTCAAACAGGAAGGATGATAAGAAACAGGGAAAGAGACTTTTGGGAGATGAGGAAAGGGGAAGTGGGAGGAAGAGGAGAGAGAAGGTAGGAAGAAGTTTTCATAAGAGTATCAAAAATTATATACATACTAATTTCCCAAAATGAATGTAATTATGTATTGCAAGCTAATCAATTAACTAATTTTTCTTAAAATATAAAGAACACTGCACTAGTGGTGCCTAGCCCTTCACATCCACAAGCGGACCATTTTGAGCACTGAGCCTCACGCACACAGTGACTCTGCTAACCACCAGGCTTTGCCACCTCGGGCTAAGGAGGAGCAGTTCACTAAGCACATGAACTCGTCCTTATAGTCACTGCCTCCTTCCCCACATCCCGCATCGTTAGAAACACAGCTAGCCCAGGAATTCCCCAGCAAGGACACAAATGACATCCAGGACAAAGACACAAAGGAACTTACAATTACAACTCAGGCCTAACTCTATGATGTATTCTAATGATTAAATAATACAGAATTTTTTTTTTTTTTTAAATCCTACTCAGTTACTCTAAATAGCCAGTTCACCTGGGGAGAGGCACAGACGCAGAAATGCAGGACTGCTGCCAAATGAAAAATATCTTCTGAATATCCGCAAAGCTTCACGAAAGTATCTGCATTCAAGAAGTAGAAGAAAATGAATTCAAACTTTGTGGACAATCACAAAACTTCAAATAAAAAAGGTAAAAAAATGCTCCAAACATAACACAGGGGAACTACCCGCTCGGACCCCCACCTGTCCCTCTCTTGGACAGGAGCTTTCTTTCTCTCAATAAATAAATTCTCATAACGTCCGTTTGTTCCTAAAGTTCATTCTTCAGTTGTAGAGAACACGAACTTGTGCAGGTCAGGTCCAGAGATCGTTTTTCCCTATGTCATTAGAAGGTTCCTTATATCGTTTGGAGGTCACCCACCCAAGACCAGTTTTTCTCCCTTTATCATTTTGGAGTTTCCCACTGAGATCATTGGATGGAGGTATGAGTTTGCTTTTCTTTCATAAATTCTGAATTAAGACTTGCTTAGGTAACAAATTTTTACGTTTCAAATGTTAATATGTCTTTGCCCATTGCTCATAATTGTTCATGCTCTGCTTCATACAGTTTTGCCTCATATAGTTCTGTTAAAATTGCTTACAATTGCTTCTGTTTTGTCTCATATTGTTTGCTAAAATATTGGTCAAAATGTTATTGGTAAATCTAAGTTAAAATGTGGAAATGTTACAAGTTCATGATATTTCTTTAATGGGACATTTTATGACTATTGTGTACTTGTATATGTTGTGTTTGAACTGGATGACTAAATGTACTGGTATTCCTTACTCAATTTTAGACAACAGTGTTAGAGTAATGTTAGTAAGCCTCCTAGTGGATTTTATATAAATTTCTATAAAATGGGACTTTTAGCCAGCTCACACTTAGAAAATATACATGCCTGTATATGAAACACGGAACTCCTTTTGCCAGTTAAATGACATTAGGTCGGCAACCATTCTTAAGGACTTGGAGGACAGGTTTCACTGGGATAAACTGGTTCTGATCCCCCTCTACATGGTACAGGGAATGTCAGGCCTGCTCTATTTCAGTTTCCTTTTTTTGACTTTATTCCTAATTTTCCCACCTCTTTGTACTTTCCTTTTTAGAGGCATGTAAAATTAGGAAAACTCTGACTGTTCCAACTAAGTAAAGTCCTTAGAAAATGAGCATTTGTTAATGCCAAAGACAGGGAAGTCATTTTAGAAAACGGACACATAGCCCATCTCAGGGTCAGATAAGACAAAGAGGACTATGCCCGTCCAGGAGGACACATATAAAAGCCATGTCCCGGCTTAGTGCCTGGGCAGGTCTCCTTCGGGAGGCTAAACCTGAGACACGGTGGAGAGAACCGACTTCTGGGTGACACCAGAAGGAGCTATCCCCAAAAGCTGCACACTTATGGGACCAAAACACATTTAGTGTGGGGGAGGATTCAACCTTTTCTCCTAGGTCTAGTACACTGATGTCTTTTAGAGGATTTATTTACACTTATGAACTAGATTGGAGAGATGTAATGTTAATCTTAAACCAAGCTTTGACTTCTATGAAAAGCAGGCAGCCTTACAAGCTGCTATTACATTTGGAGAGGAATATTATATTGTTATAAGGACTCAAAAGATGGACAACCAGTAGAATTACTTGTTCCCACTGGAGCCCACCCAGTCAGAGCCCTGCTGCTAATAGGCAGACAAAAGAGTGAAAAAGACATTTTCTTTCAAGTGTGTATTCTTGAAGGTCTAAGAACTAGAACCAAGCCTTCAGTTATTAAATTTTAGCTATTTACCAGTAAAAAGATGAACACCCCTCTGATTTCTTTTAATGTTTAATAGAGGGAGGGACTCATAAAGCATACTCTGTGAGATGTTAATTCAATAGAGAGACAGATTGCTCTTATAGATAAGTTCAGGAGCTACAAAAGATAGCTTTTGCTCCATACCACTCATTTGATACTCTGGTAAAAACTGCTTAAGTGTCCTATAATTGGAACTGGGAGAAAACCAGGGAGAGAAAGCAAAAAGATCAAAAATGGCCGTCATTATTGCAGCCTCAAAACAGGACCCTAAGTCTGATTCTCTTGGCTCCAAGAAGAGCTCAACGATGATGGCATTCATCTGCTACTGCTGTCAGAAGCCAGGCCACTGTAAGAGGGACGACTGCCTTAAGAGGCCCACAAGGCACGCCCTGACTGCCAAGGTAGTCACTAAAAGTGAGACTGCACTCTGAGGCGGAGGCCCCAGAGCTCAGACTCAGCTTCCCAGGTGGTCTGGTAGGTCTGAAGGGCGCTGGGCCTGCCTCCTCCCCCTGGCCAGACTGTTACCTCTACCTGCCATCTCCACGGAGGAGCCCTGCGTAATCATGACCATAGGAGGCAAAAGAAACCCAGCCTACTGCTGGACATTGGCACAGGTTTCTTTGTCCTCCAACTCTGACTTTCCTTCCAGTCATCATACCTCAATAGAAACAGACTTTAGAAGGTATATTGCTTTAGCTGTAACTGAGGTAATGCAATATATTCAGGTTGCTTACTAAACAATGATGCTGAGACTGATGTTTTACAAATGTCATATATTGTTATTCATGTGCAAGACTTAAAGTATGTCACTAGTTAAAACAGGTTCCCAAGGACAGATAACAACCTGTCAGCATAAAAACGTTCTAAAGACACTGCTATGCAATGTCCAATAGCTTTGGGCCTATAGATAGAGCCAGGTGTTGTATTTGTGATGTAAAACTCAGAGCCACAGCACTGAAAGGAAAAATCCCTTGGTAGTGCCCCTTGCTTACCAGGGGGCCATATCCAAAACACTGAATGGGACATTAGTTTACTATGACTAAATGCTTTGTATTTCATGATGAGTATGTAAGCCTGGTTTATTTTTAATATAACTCTGGTATTTTGTCCTGATAGTTAATACATGTGTGACCTCTGTTAACTAAAGGTAGAGGGACTTATAGCAAACTGTCAGGCTCTATGAATAAAGGGGTCTAAGAGCTAGTGAGTTATGATTGCTAGGTCTCAAAAAGGTTTATAAATGTACCTGTTAGCTTGTTCATGCTTTGATTATATATATAATCTCTCAGATAATTTGTTATTTCTAGAAGATACCAAAACCCAGGTAATCACGCAGGTAAAAATCTAAAACCAAAAGGTTTTATGTTGCTCAGTGGGCCCCAGATATCTGACATAAGCTGTAGAAGTAAGAAGAGTTTGCAGGAATGAATTGGTCTCAGTTGAGGTGTTTCTAGAAAGGATACAGAATGGAATTACAGATGGAAAATACGAATGGGGATACTAGCAGCCTATAGGAAAGCCGGACAGAGAGAAATAGCTGCTAGAGAAGGAAAAAGCAAGTGTTTATGATGGAGTCCGAGGAAGTTTCAGATTGAGGTGGTCATGTGTCTTCCCTCTCAGTCCGAGGGAACCCATGTTAACTGCCAATATAAGGAGAAATCCTGTTAAACTTTCAATAGATGCTTATATACATTTGTCAGTAGTTACCCAGCCAATGGCCCACTTGCAAACTGGAAAATATTCAGTGTTTTCCCTAGGCCCAGCAATTCATGTTCCCCAGTAATAATAGGAAAGGCCAGTTTGTTTGAAACAATACACAGTGGTGATGGAAGATAAAAGGATTAAACCCCACATTTAAGAAATCTCTGCTAATGGACCTAAAAAATGTTCTGACTAGTGTTTTTATTTGGCCAATGTATGTTTAATAGTTTCTTTGCCTTTGTCTTCAGATTCAAAGCTGTAATGAAAATGCCTGGTGTCTATTGAGGGTCGTTAGATAGAACCTCTGAAGAATATATCTGACTACCAGTCAACAATTACGACCCATTTCAGCTTGAAGAAGCCAGAGCGGTCATCACCCATAGTTCCCTCATGGCAGTTTGCATTACTTCTTCAGAGGGGGGATTGTAGGAGGCAGCAGAGTTAGATAGAAATATTATAGGCAGTTACACAGGACCAGGCCCTCAAGGAGACAAGATGGAAGACAAGGTGACTTTGCAACTTGGAAGAGACAGACACTCCCATATGGGCCACCCCTGAAGACCAAGACAAAAAGAGGAAGCACAGCTACATACTTCCCCAGGGATGGGCATCAGGGATTGATGTCCTAAATAGTATCAATCACCTTGAAAGAGCCCAAATGAGTTACCAGCCCAACCCCCAACAGGAAGAAACCCTGTCCTTTATCATGCCCGCTTGCTACGTGACTCGCTTCCCCATTTGGTACCCAATTTAATTTTTACCTGAACAATAGTGCCTGTAATCTCATTGGTTGACCATAGTTTTGTCCCACCTCATGCCCAACTAAGTAAGTTCCCATGTCTTCACCACCTTAGACCCACCTCACCACATGGTTTTCTTCTATAAAAGTCCCTGGAAGAGACAACTTCCCAGGGGGAACTACCCGCTCGGGCCCCCCTCCTGTCCCTCTCTTGGACAGGAGCTTTCTTTCTCTCAATAAATATATTCTGCTCAAAAAAAAAAAAAAAAAAAAAACACACACACAAATAGTATCTGGGCAAATATCATCCCAGTAAGGTCATTTAAACACTTTGAAATGAAATTTAATCTAAGTCACCCTAATCCAATTAAAATAGATTATTGTAGTATTTATTTATTTGCATTATGTATGTCAATAACATCCAGAGAGACTCAAACAGCTTATAGTAATAAAATGCTTCTAAACTGTGACACCTGAAAGAAAAATAATAAAATCTCAGAAACCGGTGGAGGAAAACTGTGTAGCATTACTTGGTGAAAGTATTTACTGCAGTGGAATACCTATGCAACATCTTAAGCACATGGGCAACATAAACACATGAGACCAATTAATTAATTAAAACAAGGAATTCAGAAATTAATAAATCTCATTAGCCTAAAAAGCAGACGAGATTTCCGACTGCATACAGTAAAGTGTGAAGGTAGTTAAGTCTCAGGATGCAAAACACTGCATTTTGGAGGACAATCAACCTCTCCTTCCTGGAGTAAACTGATGCCTTAGCTAGCTCTCTGACTCCGCCCCATCAAAAGTCAGCATTCAGTCCAGTGCTCAGAACCCTCACAGGCATCAAGTGCAGCATCTGAGGACTAGGACCCCAGAGCTGCATCCCCTGGAGGCCCAATCTGGCCCCAGCCCGGCACCCTCCACACTCCCTAACTGCACCTGGCCTAAGGTCCTTGGTCCATCCTTGCCCCAGGCCTCTGCACCTCCTGCTTCTCTACTTTGAGCCTCTTTTTTTCTCACCTTCCCTAGGAAAAATATTTTCATTATCAGATAAAACTAAGTTTGTCAAAAAGGTAAATACTCACCATCAAAAGCTATATTTTTTAAATAAAGTTGAATTGCCTGTCCTTCTTTATAGTTTTCCAGAGGAAAGATCACACCTCTGTTTCTCTTTGCATTGACTAGGGGTTCTGCTGCGAGCAGAAGCGTGACATCCTTCTCTGCTTTCTTGGCCTCTGGATCGTCCTGCCTCTTTGAGAAGCATATCCCACACATTAGGTAGTATTCCAGCATCAACTCGATAAACAAAAACAAATGAGTGGTTTTGCATGTATTACCTGGAAAAAAGCAGCAAGCTGCCCCGCTGCAGATTCAAATAAGCCCCATTCTTCATAAGTAAACGCCAGTTTTATAAATTTCACAGCAACATCCATCGAAATAATATTTTTTCTTTCTATCATAAGTTCCAGAAGAGATATTTTTGGAAAATCAATCACTCCATTAGCATCGATATTTGACACTAAAAAAAGAAAGAGTGTTTACCACCATCTATGCAAAGAAAGCTTTCCTAAGTGCTGGCGATCAGATATGCCAGGCAGCAGGGGCCACATACCTGGCTTCACTGAGTTTACACTCCCAAAAGCAAACAAGAAATCTGAGCAGCAAATGCAGTGTGTTTGGGAACAAACAGGAATAGAGATTTAGGGGAAGAGGACAGTCAGGCAAAGTCACCCAAAAGAAGGACTGTGGAATCTCAGAGAATTAGCACTGGTTAGCCAGCCACGTGGGCAGCTATGTACTGATAGAAAGCTTGAAAAGGAGATCTATCGTGGGGACACTGCTGGTAGCGCTATCGCTGCACAGCCACAGTAAATGGCACGACCAGCTACGGCCACTGTTTAGCTTCCAGGACAAAGCAGTAAGAGACAGCACTGCACTAGAGAAAGACAGAGGAAAGACTTCAAGGGAGAGTGGCCAGCAAAACAAGAAGCAGTCAAGAGTAACAAATACTCTGAAGAGGGAAGGAAGAAAAAGACTGAAAAGTAATCTTTGATTTAGCAATAACGAGGTTACCTAGGATATTCTTAATGACTGTTAGGTTCCAAAGGCTTTCTGGTATGCAAATAGGAAGGAAAGAATTTGGAGCAGGTGAAAATATGCAGTTCCTTGGAGAACCCTGATGGTGCCAAGGAGATACAGGGAAGGAGCTCAAAACAGGCACGAGACAGAGGGACCAAAAGATTTGGCTTAAAGACATGGAGGGGAGAGGGAAGAAGAGAGGGAAAGAGTGGGAGAGGATGCAGGAAGAGGGGTAGGGGAGGGAGAAAGAGGAGGAAAGGGGAATGAAGGGGAGCAGAAGGACGAGGCTTCCACATTAGGAAGAGAGTAGAAAGGAGGGCTGCAGATGGAAGTTTAAGGCTTTCAGTGAAACAAATTCAAGGAAACTTTCCCCTAAGAATTTGTATTTTTTCCTGTGAAGAGATGAGCTCAAACCATGACACCACAGGATACTGGTTGGGTACTTCAGATGGGGGCAGATGGGGCGCACACATGTGCATGCGCACACGCACACGTACACACGCGCACACACACCCCAAGCGCACATGAACTAAGATCCAGACTTTCCCCTCTCCTGCTGGGTGGTCACTCAGCCAAACCAGCTGATGGTCACCAGGCAATAGGTTAGGTCATCAGGAAGGAGAATAAAAGGTACAGCATCCTCAGAAGAAACCCAGCTGAAGCGCCCTTTACCATAGGAAGCAGAAAAACTGGACAAGATGGGCAAGAACTTGTGCACCCCCAGCGCTCCCCCAAGAAAGAGGAGGGCATCAGAAATGTCCAGGCAAGAACAAGTGGCTGTGCAGACTGGGCATAAAGCGCACCACTGCTGAAACAGCTCAAATGTGGACAAAACAGCAGGACAGAGGGGATCAAAGTCTAAATAACCTAGAAAATCAGATCGAGCAGCCTTCACAGAAGCCAACAGCAAGGAGGAAAGGGATGAAAATAATAAGATAAATAGGCCATGAGAGAGCACGTAGGCATGTCAGCCTTTGTGTAAGACCAACCCTGAAGGACTAAAAACTAAAGTAAACATGGAGAAAAATAACATAATACAAACACTTAAAGAGATATAAGAGCTCAAATTACTTCTGAATTACTAAAGCAACATGTACAACAAACATTGGGCTGGGGAGATAAGGAGATAGCTCAGCAGCATAAGCACCTGCCTGGCAAGCACAAGGTTGTGGGTTTGATTCCTGGTACAAAAAATAAAATAAAATAAAAAATATATATACACATATAATATATATATATATACTATATATAATACAAAAATATATATAGTGTATGAGTATCATAAAGAAATAAATGCAAAAACTGTACGTATAAAACAAGATTTAAGCTACCACTAGACTTCTGAACAAGTACTCTATACAAGACTACAGAGAAATGTTATCAAAATTTCAAAAGAAACAGACATAAGTAAAATATATCCAACTAAATTACTTCAGAGTACTTTATGTTTGTATCTCAAAAATAAGTGAATTTTGAAAGAAGTGATGAGAGAAAAATCTTAATATGAGTACTTACTGTCTTAGAGAAGCAACAATTAGGACTTGTGTCTAAGGCAAAAGAACTCAAAACGCAAGAGAAAAAAACACAGAGTCTAATTAGAAAATGGGCAAAGACTGAAGGGAGCAAATGTACAGACGGCAATTACGCACATGGAGTGCTGCTCAGCATCTTCTGTTATTAGGGAAATGCAGCTTAAAGACATGATGAGCTAGCACCCTGGACCTGTAGGAAAGACGACAGTAAAATACAGTGGCTGAGGGACTAGCTCGGTGGCACAACCCTTGCCTAGCGAGCACAAGGCCGTGGATTCAGTACTGGGGACAAAGTGTCAGTATGAAATATTGTCAAGGAATTTAAGAAACTGGATCTGTAGAGCCTTCCCTAAAATACAAACAAACAAACAGCTGTCACGAATGCTTAATGATTATGCCTAGGTTAGGTCAGAGTGAGTAGCCATAAGGAATTCAGTGAAATTCCCTAAATTAGTATAGGCACTGAATTGAAAGATGTAATTCAAACTTTGGTATTCTGAGTCCAGAGTGCATGTACCTAATTGCGAATAACTAGAACATTTAAATATGCTTATTATATTAAATTTTGAACTTAATTAAGCACAGAGTTCTAGTATGTTTTGTGGTAACTTGTGTAATTAATTTGAAGATCGTTTCTTTTAATGTATTTAGTACAGGGTCTACAGGATCTCACTACGCAGATTAAACTGCTAATGACGCTCCTGTTTTCAGCCCCTCGAGCACTGGGATTATAGGCACACACCACCACTCCCTGTCTTAAATGCCATCTCAGCACACCCCAGGGATGGGGACTGCGCGGCATGCCGGGGATTGAACCCCAGTCCCTGAGTCTGCCTATAAAGATTGTTTCTTGTAGAAATTTGCTAATATACCTTCTCAGTAAGTGCTATCTTTGTATGCAAAGTTTAGTTTTAATTTCATTTTTAAGTGTTTACTGTGAAGACATTGTATAATACTGTGGAAGAATAATATATGTATATTGGCTAAATTATGCAATATAACTGTTAAGAAAAATTGCTCTGAGAAAAAGATGCAGTATCTGAAAACTTTTTATTCTATTTTTAAAGATGATACTTTTAAGTTTTGGATGAAAAAAAATTAAGAAGCTGGATCATTTTCATATGACTGATGGAAATACAAATAATGCAGTTACCCTGGAGGATATGGCAGCTTCTCACAATACTAAATATGCACTTATCATATGAACTGGTGACTGCACTTGAGAGTATTTATCCCAGGCTCAATTTTTTTTTTTTTTTTTTTTTTTTGGTGCGGAACCAGGGATTAAACTCAGGCCTTTATGCTTGCCTCAAATGTTCATAAAAGTTTTACTCCTAACAGCCCAAAACGGGACCCTACTCAAATGTTCTTCACAAGTAAAGGATTAAAAGCAGCAGTGGACCAGCCATATTATAGGACACTGCCCCCCAACAGTGAGCAGGGAGCTACTAATACAACAAATTGAACACCTACGCCAATAGAATATTCCCCTTGACAAGACAAAAAAAAAAAAAAATTAAATTTAAATTTAAAAAAAAGATACAAAGGAAAGATCATTTTGTATTCGTATATACAAAATAGGATAAATTTACAGCTACTTTCGCTCAACTCAATGAGAAGAAAGAGGTGTACTAGCAGTGTTTGGACAGAATATCCTGTCTGCTTCTTGCACTAGGGATAACCACTAAGAAGATAACAATGTACAGTGTATTGACTATCAAAACTGTCCTATTAATCAGCTGTGAAACTGTCTCATTCATATTTATTTCTCAATAAAAAAATAAATATAAAAAAGAAAACAATACAATTGTAAAACGTTTATAGAAAGAATGTTATAATCAATAAATGGAAATTATTCATGATGAAAAAATAAATAAATAAACTGTAAAAAAAATAAAGGTTTTAGATGCAAAAAAAATAAAAATAAAAATAAAAAACAAATTGAAGGTACCTCCAGGGAGTGCTGCTAAGTGAAAAGACACTCAACACAGGTATAAGGACCTGTGACATGACAAAGGAGCATTGAAGCCAACAGAGAAAGGAAGCTCTCTTCAAAAATAAGACCTGCATCAATTCAATATCCATACAAAAATAAACCTGTCTTTAAAAAAAAAGTAAGGATGCTGATCCTTACTTCAAACCAACAAAAAGACCTAATTTTGGCGACCTTATAAAAAAAAAAAATGAAGCTTACAGAAGAAACCATGAAAATATATGTACAATATTAGAGTAGCACAGATTCCTTCAACATCACACAACAATTACTTGGATAACATTAAAATCAAGATTTGGGGGCTGGTGAGATAGCTCAGCACACTAAGCACCAGCTTAGGCAAGCGCAGAGACTGGGGTTCAATCCCTGGCACCACATGCCACGCCAGCCCTGGCCCCACCCCCACGTGTGCTGAACCAGCCACCGAAACTGGGTGTAGTGGTACATGTCTGTAATCCCAGCGCTTGGGAGGATGAAAACAGGAGGATCAATTCAAGTCCAAGCTGCATAGTGAGACCCTTGTCAAATACATTTTTTAAAATATATAAATAAATATAAAACTAAGATTTTTTTTTTCTAAATAGACACCATTAACAAAATGAAAAGGCAAACCACCAAATGCAAAAATAATTTGTAGTAGTCAGTACTGAATATTGCTATATTCAGTAAAGGATTTAGATCCAGAATATGTAACAAATTTCTGTAAATCAAAGAGAAAGAGGCAAGTAGGCCAACAGAAAAAAATGGGCAAAAATATAAACAGGTCCTTCACAATATAGGATATCTAAGTGGTTAAAAAGCATTTGAAAAGTTGCTCAACTGCACTTGTCTTCAGAAAAATGCAGGGGCTGGGGAGATTTTCAGTGGAATAAGTGTTTGCCTGGCAAGCACAAGGTCCTGAGTTCAAATCCTGTTACCACCAAAAAAAAAGAAAGAAAAGAAAAATGCAAATTAAATCTATAATGTAATACCATTTAATGGACAAAATGAAAAGACAGACAATAATACTAATTGCTACGGTGAATTTGGAACAATTAGAATGCTGGTCCACTGGGGTAGAAGCCAGGATAACAGAATCTGTGAGAGCAAAACAGGCATGTCCTATGCCATAGCAATTCTACTCCAACAGAAATGCAAAGGGTAAGGTGCTTAACCTCTCTGTCTGCCTGCCTGTCTGTCTGTCTGTCTGTCTCTCTCTCGCTCTCTCTCTCTAATTCATGGAAAAATCAGACTAGAAAAATTTAACATGGACAGAGAAAATCTAATCACATGATTTACAAACTTAAACAACATATATAAAGTAAGGCACCCAACAAATAAAATAGCCTTTACTATGTATCAAAATTGGCCCTAATGTTAACATAACTCAGCACAGGCCAATAGCTTCTAATAATACAGATCAACCTTTCTGACCACAGGACAAAGGAAGTGAAAGAACAGTAACAAAATGATGTAATACATCAATTAGGAAAATCCCCTATATTTTGCCTCAAAGCCCATAAATCAAAAAGAAATTACACTGAAAATCAGAAAATATTCTTAACCAAACTCTATAGGGAAAGTATGATACATCAAAACTTCAAGTACACAGCTAAAGCTCTATTTAGAGAGAAATGTCTTGTCCATATATTAAATAAGAAATTGTGAAAATCCATGATCTAAACTTTCAAGTTATTGGACTTTGAAAAATTGCCAAAACAAACCCAAAGAAAATACATTAATAAGACAGAAAACAGGCAATAGAAAGGACCAATGAAGTCAAATATTGTTTCACTGAGAGGATTAATGAGACTGATGGACCCTGGTGAAACTGACCAGTGCCAGAAATGAAGACAGAGGCCACCAGGACAGACATTAAAATGATCACAATGAGATAAAGAACTCAACGGAAATCCGAGACCACTGGATGAAATGCAAACTTTTAAGAAGTATACCACTTACCGAACTGATAGCAGATACAGAAAAACAATGAAAATGAAAACTGAGTAATTTTACATCAATGGAAGAAACTGAATCCACAGTTAGAAACCTCCTCACAAAGAAAATTCCATGTCCAGATGGCTTCGCCAATAAAGTAATTCAAGCAAACATTTAAGAAAAAATAGTAAGAATCTGAAACAAATACTGTCAGCTAATAAAAATGAAATAATTTTCAACTAATCTTACGAAACCAGTGTGACAAGAACAAAATCTAAAAACAAAAAAGTTAAAAGAAGGGAAAATCCTTCTCATAACAAAGCAGAAATATTAATTCGTGGCAAACAAACCAAGCAACACATCAAAAAGCTAATCCTCACCACCAAAATAGGTTTATTCAAAAAACAGGATAGTTAAAATTTTAAGTGAATAATCAACGTAATTCCCAACATCAGTAGAAAAGAAAGCTATTTAATCAACTCAGCAAATTTTGATAAATGCAGAAAATGCTCTTGACAAAATTCAACCACTACCCGGGGTTCAAAACAAACAAACCGGAGCCAGGGAGATGGCTCAGTGGAATAAGCGCTTCCCTGGCAAGCGCAAGGGCCTGAGTTCAATCCCTGGTTCTGCCAAAAAAAACCCAACCCTCGGCAAATCAGGCATCGACCACCCCTCGATCTGAAGAAGGATAGCCATAAAAACCCTTTTCCTCCCCAGTGCAGGTGATCAGACATCTGGTCTCATTCAAGCTAAACACTCTACTGCTGCGCTACACCCCAGCACACGCACATAACAGTAAAATGATGAACCTTCCACTTCAGATCAAAAATGAGACAAGGATGATTACTAAGACCCTGTCCTCCCTGTGTTTAACGCACATCCTAGCCAGTGAAGTAAATCAAGACATGAAGGAAGAGGGCTGAATGAATCAGACATGAATCAAGATAGCTCAGCAGACAAAGCGCCTGCTTTGGCAAACACAGACACCAGGGTTCGATTCCTGGTCCCGCATGCCATGATGGCCCCACCCCTGGGGCATGCTGAACTGGTGACAGAGCCCAGGAATGGTGGCGCATGCCTGTAATCCCAGTGCTGAGGAGGCTGAAAACAGGTGGATCACCACGAGTCCAATCTGCGTAGTGAGATCTTATACCAAACATACAAATGAAAAAAAAAAATAATAATAATAAAAGAAAGAAATGAAGAAGGAAATTAAGAGATCAAGAATTAGAAAGGATATGAAATTATCATTATTCACAGATAGCTACACAAAAAAATGAATAAATGACTTGAATAATCAGTTGACTTTAGCAAAGATGATGAATTCCAAATGAATATACAAACGGGATATATTTTTTATATGTGGATTTGCATGGTTTTAAAATTAGGCAAAATTTGCAAAATTTGTTATTCATATCTGCTGCAAAATACTATCTTAATATCTTACTTATTAAAAGTTCTTTTCCTGACATAAACAGTTCTGAGACAACATCACGCAGCTCCACCTCATCAGTCACAAGAGGCCCTGTTTGCAGTGTTCGCCGGTTGGAGTCGGAAAGCGCTTCCACGACGGCCAGAAACCTGGATGCGGTGCTATCAAACATCTCATCCAACAGCCGTTCGGTGGTGGTCCGTGGCCAGGACAGCTGGAATAAAAGAGAAAATACAGCCCACTTTGGAAGGATAGTGGAAGGAAAAGAAAAGTGAGTTTTAACTAATGCCCAGAAGAGTGTGCATGGTTAGTTTCACAATGAAGTTTACTTTCAGGGTTCTCATTTTCGAGCTGTCACTGTAGACTCCATTTAAGTTTATGTCATCCTACCAGAACCTCACTCTTTGCTACCTCTTTATATCTTTATATTTCTAAGGCAATGTAAGAAAAGCTGTATGATCTTTTTACTGAGCCAACATCACCTGCATATGTTCTTTGCCACCTTGATTTCCAGGTCTGATACCGAAACCTTTTTGGTATTAATCATTCACCGGGGCTTTCCCAAATTCAAGACCAAATCTCCACAGCTGTCCTGTCTGGATGGGGACACTGTTAATAAACAAGCACTGCAGGACATTTTACTAAGGAATGTGCTCCCAACTCCTGTTTGAAACAGTGTTTTCTGTTATACAGAACTAGGCTTGTGCGGCTCGCACTGAGAGCTGCGCGGCTGCATGCTACTAAACCTGCGCGTGCCTGGGGCCTTCTCGAGCTCACAGGCACGGCTGGCTGTGCATCCAGGACTGCCCTTCTGCTGCAACTCCCTCATGCTTCACTCTCCGGAGCACGCTGTTCTCTGCATTTAGGCGGCCCATAAGTGCGACCAAGGCAAGCTGGTGTTTCTACAATCTACGTCTAGCTCGAAGTTACCAATGGTATTCTCCCAATTCTCTTTCATTTGTGTCTCTTCTTGGGGTAAAGTTAAAAAGTCATGAAGTTAGAAAAATAGGGCTGGGGAGAGAGCTCAACGGTCCAAGCGCCCTGCCTGGCAAGCACCCCCAGCCTCAAAACCGGATGTGGTGATGCATAGCTGGAATCCCAGCACTGGGGAGGCTGAGACAAAAGGATCACTAGGAGTCCAAGCTGTGTAGTGAGGCCCAAAAGCAAGGATAAAGCTGTCTTGGACCTTGTTATCCCAAGCAGCAGTTGCTCTAATTCCTTAGCTTCTATGCTTTTGAACCATAAGTCAACTGAAACATCAAAAACTCAAAAAAAGACACTTGAATTCCACACCTTGCCATTTCTTTCCTTATAAACAGAGGGAAAGGTTTCTTTTAAGATCTGTACTAAGAGGCACTACCAAGATAGCTCAGCAGACCAAGCACCTGCTTAGGCAAGCTCCGGGACCAGGTGTGATCCCCTGCACCACTGCCCTGCGGGCCCCGCCCCTAGGCACATTAAGCCGGCCACCAAGACCGGGCATGGTGGCACACCCATGTAATCCCAGCGCTGGGGAAGCTGAGATAGGAGGATCACTACAAGTCTGAGCTGCATAGTAAGACCCTGTACCAAATACTGAAAAAAAAAAAAAAAAGATTTGTACTAAGAGTTAAAATAGAGCTTTAAAAGTAAGCTGAGAGCCGGGGAGATGGCTCAGTGGAATAAGCACTTCCCTGGCAAGTGCAAGGGCCTGAGTTCAATGCCCCGTTCCACCAAAAATAAATTAATTAATTAAATAAATAAAATAAAAATAAGTTGAGTGCACTGGTGCACACATGCGGTTTCACCTACTTGGGAGGCTGAAACAGGAGGATACTAGTTCAATAACAGGCTGGGGAATTTAGCAAAAATATGTCTCAAAAATAAAACAAAAGGGATAGGGTTACAGCTCAGTGACTCAGCAATTGCCTCACAAGTATGAAGCCCTGAGTTCAATTCCAGTGACACAAATAATGCTAATAATCAAAATGGTAATAACAATGTTGCAAGAGCCAGCCAAATAGCTCAGTGGATTAAAAACCTGCAAGTAGGCCCAGGGACAGGGGTTCGATCCCCGGGCCTGCAGAGCTGGCTCCGCCCCCTGGGGCAGTTGAGACGGCAACTGAGACTGGACATGGTGGCGCAAGCCTGTAATCCTAGCTCTTGGGAGGCTATAAACAGGCAGATCATTATGAGTTCGATCTAGTAGTGAGACCCTGAACACCCTGTAGACCCTTCCCTAAAAAATACAAACAAAAAACAACGTTGTTATTTTAATTTCTTTTTCTTTGTATTTAGGACAGGGTGTACAGGGTCTCACTGCATGGAGTGGACTCGTAGTGATCCTCCTGTTTACAGCCTCCCAAGTGCTGGGATTACAGGCATGCGCCACCATGCTGACTCAGCATGCCCTGGGGGCAAGACCAGCATGGCAGGCCTGGGGATGGCCAGCCATCCCATATCTGTTTAAGCAGGCACTTTAATCCGCTGAGCTATTTAGCCGGCCCTCTTTGTTTTAATTTTTATAGGTCTTTTATTAATATTTTATTTTTAGAAGTATTTTTATTAATTTAAATAGTATAATGAACTTTTTAATAATGAGTATTCCCCCCAAAATGGTAGTTTCACATCAGTTGGTAAAAGACCAAGATTTTTTATAAAAATATTACTAAAAAATTAATAAAAAGGGGGCAATAAAATAAGAGCTATAGATACTCAGCAAAGAATTTTAAAATACAAATATGTAAAAAAAAAAAAAACCTTAAAAAAAATAAAATTAAAGCACAAAAAAAATTGATGGTCAGGGCTGGCCAGATCGCTCGGCAGATTAAAGCACCTGCTGAGGCAGATGCTGGGACCAGGGTTCAATCCCTGGTGGGCCATGCGGGCCCCGCCCCCGGGGCACAATGAGAAAGCAGTTAAGACTGGGCATGGCCCTGTAATCCCAGCACGTGGGAGGCTGAAAACAGGAGGATCACTACGAGTCTCATCTGTGTAGTGAGTCCCTGTACTAAATACATAAAAAGGGGGCCAGGGAGATGGCTCAGTGGAATAAGTGCTTCCCTGGCAAGCACAAGGGCCTGAGTTCAATACCTGGTTCCGGGAAGAAAAAAGAAAAAAGAAAAAAAAAATAAAAACCCATAAAAAAAAACAAATAAAAATCAAAAAATTGGATTGTCAAGTATGACAATCACAACAGTAATGTCTATCAAAATAATGAATTCATTCAAATGTGACTTAAAAATTAAAATCTCTACTAGATAAATGGACAAAGCTTAAAAGATAATTCACCAAAAAGGAAATATATAAATATAAAGGAAAAGTGAATCAAAGAAATAAGATTTTTTTAACTAAATTAGCAAACAAATTTAAATAAATTTGTTAGCTGAATTAGCAAACTATGTTTAAACAATATCACAGCCGGCGGCACAATTGGTACCTGCAGGGTACCAGCCTGGAAACAGGAGCACCCATGTTGGTGACCAACTGGGAAATACGTGCCAAGAGAAATAAAATATTCCTATCTTTTGATGGAATAATTGTATAATTTCAACTTTATTTACAGGAAATAAAGGAAAGGAAAAATAGTATGCCTGAAGATGTGACATATTTGTAATTGCAAAGAAAATTGGGGAAAAACTAAAACAATGGATATAAAAATATCAGGCTAACTGTGGTAAATATACCACATGCAGTGAATCACGCCATTCTGCAAAGTATCGGGGTGGATGTGGATCTAAGTGGCACACCCACAGGCTCTGCGCCACCTCCTTGGTGTCTGCTCTACAAGAGCTCCGGTCAGTTCTCCACCATGAGATGCCTGTCCCAGTCAGGCTCTGTTTGCCACGGTCCCCAACAAACTCTGCTTCCGTTGGCTTCCGAATGAGGGTCCTGTCCTGGGGCTCCACTTAGGATGTCCAGTCCTCTCTTCCTGTGAGGCCAAATCCTGCCCATTATTCCAAGGTCATTTAAAAACATCCAGGACTGCAACTCAGTCCTTTGTATATGCCACTACACTTGAAAACAACTAGGTAGTCAATACACCATGAGTGAATGAATAAAAATAAACAACTGTAGTAGCTAATGTTTACTAGGTGCCAAGAAACTCTGAAGGGCTTTTATGTTTAACTTATTAAATCCCCACCATCATTTCCTTCTTAGGCTTATCAAAGATATAATTATTTCATTTAATGTACAGTTTCCACACACACACACACACAAAAGAAAACATAATCTTCATCTGTCTTGTTCAAATAGTAGATACTTTAAAAATATTTGAGAGCCAAGGATACAGCTCAGTGGCGCAGCACCTGCCTGGCAAGTATGAGGTCATAAGTTCAATTCCCAGTATTGAATTAATCAATAAGTGATTGATTATTAGATGTCAATTAGTAGTCTATGATTATTATTATTATTATTATTACTCATTTAGTACAGGGTCTCACCACACAGCTCAGACTCCTAATGATCCTGCTGTTTTCAGCCTTCCCAGCACTGGGATACCAGATGTGCACCACGATGCCGAGTCTCAGGGGCTGGTGCGGCATGTGGTGCCAGGGATTGAACTCCAGTCCCTGCACTTGCGTAAGTAGGCACTTAGTCCACTGAGTTATCTTGCCAGCCCCATATATACTAATTAGAATATTATGTAAAGCATGTCAAGTTAATATGATATGACATTATAAAAAGGGCATCTAGCTAATCTCTGCAAAACTACCCACTAAGCAATTATAATTTTTTCCTAAAATATACACCACAAGAACTTTTTATACGATAATTATCTTAACAGAAACCAGAAATAAATGAGCTTTCATATAAATTTAGCTGGAATTTTACATATCTTTTTGAAGACATATTTAAAACTTTGCTAACAGGATAACCAAAACTCCTAAAAAATAAAAAAAAATAAAAAAAAAAAAGGCTAAGCAATGACAGTCCTGTAGTTTTGGATATTTCCATTTTGTTTATTCTTAGAAAACATGCAGATGGGAAGAAACTGTCCCCTGTTCCTTACAAAGATGACCGATCACATTCCTACTCTGCAAGAGCAGGTGCAGCTAGTGCCACTCTCATCTGAGGAGTTCCCAGCGCCTCGGTCAGTTACCAGCCACATACCGCTGAGCAGCCGGAGACAAGGCAGAAAACAGAGACAAGGTGGGCTTCCGGGCTTAGGAGTCAACACAGCTGCAGTAACTAGCAATGGAATGCGGTATACGCAAAGATGTCTATATTTCCACATCATGATTTATTTAAAAGAAGAAACTGAATTATTGGTAAAGCCTAAAAGAGAATTAAGAAGAGGAGAGGGCGCCATCATGGAGCAGCAAGACAGCATGTCTGCAGTACGCGGACTGCAGGTTCCCGGGCCAGATCTGCCCCTAGCTGGCTGCAGACCTTGTGCCAGGGACAGAAACCCTCCAGCTTCTGGTTCATGCTCTGTGGACCGACCACACCTGCTGATTTTCAAATCCCCTCCAGGTTCTGAGATTCTGAAACTCTTCTGTGAGAAACTGCTGAGCTCCTGACCCATAACTTTGCATCTCAGCCTCCACCACAAGCTCAAAGAACACCCAGGGAAAGCATGGAGGAGGCACAGACCTGGGCCGCGAGGGTACTAACTGAGCTCAGAAAGGCACCCGGGAGCAGGGAGAGTGGAAGGGGAATGGGATGGACGAAGGCACATTCCCATAGCACCTCTTGGTCTCACACCGTGCCTGGGCACAGGCCCCAGAGCAACGCCAACTCTGCTTGCGACCTGCGACTGGCCCACCCGCCCCGGTGGGGCCTGAGCGCTCTCCTGCCCCACGCCCACGGCGCTGGCTTGTTCACTGCTGCAGCCTAGCCTAGTTCCTAACACGCCCCAGCAGAGCTAACGCGAGGGCTCAGGGGCCTCCACCTGCCCCCACCCCCAAAGCCCGCAGAGCTCCAGCGCAGGGCTCAGGGGCCAGGGCTGTGCTCGCCTGGAGCCTGCTCACTCATGAGGGCCGCTCCTTTCACCCCTCCTGGGCCGCCTGTCCCTTACCACTGCGGAACAGGGATTATGCTAAAAGCACAAACAGCTTATGGAAAAAGAAGAAATGAGGGCTGATCGGAACTGGGAAATCCTTCCTCTTTCTCTTTGCCCAATTATGTGGAGAATGAAATCAGGGGCATGATTTAATCTTTCTTTAGGGACAAGGCCAAAAAGACCCAGGCAGGATAACTAGCACACATCTATCGCAGAATGGGTTGTAAAGGCAGACTTACGCTTTGGGCTTCCTTGAGGTTAACTCTAGTCTTTGGTCTAAAATACGCTTTGTTTTTTCTTCTAGACTCAAACACTCCTCTTTTGAAGATCATCACAGCCATCTGCCTCAAAAAGAAGAGACACGTGTGAAGTCACAGAGAGAGGCGGCCTGAGGACCGGGAGGCAGCACGCAATCGAGCAGGGAGCGCGGCTCACTTCTTTCAGCTACTGTCATCTTCATACCTTTATCGTGGCCTCTCTGTACCATCTTCTGGATTCTTCCTGCGATTGTGAGGAGCTCATTAACTCCAGCTGCCTCAGCTCATCAATTTTAGCTAAAGCACGCCGAGCAAATGCCTGTGTGCATGGGAAAGAAATTTAATTCACAGTAAGTTAGACTAGAGTGATTAAAAACACATAAAGACAGGATGTTTTGTTGTCCTAGACTTTGGATCTGATCTGTGAATTACACTGAAGGCTGATGGGCTGAATCTGTAATAAATTCTACAGATCTAAATAACAAACTCTCCAGGCTCCAGATCATCGCTTCCCTGACACTGCATGTAGGCATTGTGTACACATGTGCACGCGCACACACACACGTGCGCACATGCAAGTGAACACACACACACGTGCACACATGCATATGCACATGCATACACACCTCTATCCTACCTTCAGGTAGTCATCGCCAATCCTAACATCCCTACTAAAGCAAGCTGTGTACTTATTCAGTTATGCATAATGTCTACTACATTGTGAAGTCCCTAAATAGCCTATCTCATTTTTATCTCCAGTAATCTAGGGACTAGTTAATATATATTCAAAGAAGGGAGAAAACAGGCTTGTTTATTTAGCCATTTCTCCACTTTCATTACTCTCCAAAGTTTAAAAGAGCTAGTGTGAGCTCAATAACAAGGGTTCACATCATTTATTTTACCATTTCTTTGAAATACTGTATTTATAATTTCTAAAATATTAATGAAAATGCTTCCAGATCAATCACAAAATTAATGCGTATGAAGGGTTAAATTTTCCAGTAAGGAAGAATCTCAAGAGGAATGAAGAGGTCCAAATCTCATAAATGTTCAATTCCCTGATAATTTGACTACAAAACAAAATGTGCCACGTCTAGAATACCAAGGTTAGCATCACATACCAAGGTCAGCAGTTTCTACGACGTTTCCTGGCACAGTAAAAGGGTCCCATGAGAGCTGAATTCAGCTATCCCTCTGCCTAGGGACTGCTATTACCCAGCTCTTCAGAATGAGTCCAGCTGGGTGTGGAGGCTGAGGCAGGAGGTTCGCTGCGAGTTGGAGGCTAGCCTGGGCTACATAAGTGCTTTCAAGGCCAGCCTGCACTACACAGAGAGACCCTATCTCCAAAAACAAACAAACAATTAATCCAGGCAAGAAACCAACGTGTATAATGAACTCTTCATGGGCCAGAAGATGTGTTTCTGGTTATGATGTGACGGCCGCGGATGACCCAGGACTCCCCACCAAGGGCCTGAGTGAGGGCTGAAATCCAGCCTTTACTGCAGTCACCAAGCCGTGCACCCCAGGCCAACGGCGTGCTGGCCCAGAGGAAGGGGACCTTCCCAAGCTGACCAAGCTACCACGCACTGCAGAGGGAGTGCTTTTCTATATTTTAATTGTGTTTGTTTCTTTGTTTGCAGTGCCGGGAGGTGGAGCCCTGGCCTGGAGCCAGCACTGCAGCACTGGGCGGCCTCTTCTAGTGAACATACACGGAGGTGCCACACGAAAAATCAAAGGAAGGAGCCCAAACCAAGTTAAGTCAGATTTCCAGGATTTAATCTAAAAGACAGACAAAGAGGAAAAAAGGAAATAGAATATAATAAAGGGGGTTGGCAGCAGAGGGAAAAAAAATCCAAATACATGCATAATAGGTGGGAAAAAAATCCAATAAAATAAAAAAACAGGGAAGTAGGGCGGCCAAGGAGAACCAAATGAGCAAGGAAGATAGCAGCACTCATATTCACAAGAGGAGCTACAAAGGTGGAAGTTCACGGGGAACACCGGACAGAGTGAAGGCAAAGCAAGAAGTCAGCAGGAGGGAAGAGCCACCGAAGTCCACCTAGGACGGAATTCTTGTCTGTGCTTCACGTCGGTTCTTGCACGGCTTTCCTGGTGCTCTGGTTCATTCCCCCGAGGGCAGGTGAAGCAGCATCACCCCAAGCACTGGGATCACAAGGACAAAAAGGCCACCTACCTCCCCGTGAAGGCCATCTTGGCAGTCGTACCAGCACTGGCACACAGCGGCGTAGAGAGTGGCCCTCCAGCTCAGGTACCTGACAGCCAGGAGCGGGACGGAGGACTCCATGCACACGCTGGCCCACAGCAGGTGCTCCAGGGCCTGAAGGGCAGAGGCACAGCGGGACGGACTGCTGTTCACTGGCAGCTAGCACACGACATGGCTCCTTGCACCCCAGCTAACGTAAGTGCACACAGAAAAGAAGGACTCAGGGAATCCCAACTAGCCTCTTGGGAGCGTCAGCCTTCCTTGCTCTTAAAATCACTCTGCTGCTGAGCTCATTTTTCTTAAAGCTTATCAGGTGTCAATGGTGGGCCAAAGCCTGACTTCCAATGATAAAACTGTTAGGACTTAGCCTCAAACCAGTGTGTTGTTCTGGTACAGGAGGATAGGAGAGAGAGAAAAGCTGACCACCCAGGTCTGTAATACACAACAGAAAAAGGACTGGAGCCAAATAAACCTAGTTTTTTGCCTCCATTTCACCTCTCTAGACCTCAATCTTCTCATCTGTAAAATGAGTATTTTATCACATCCAAGCAATGGTGCTATGGGTGTGCAGTTATTATGTTTGCCGCATTGAGAACACATTGCCAACTGTGGATGTCACCCCTGTAAATGTCCCCATGGAACAACTTGAAACAAAATGGTGTAAGCAGCAGCGCAGTGTCACTGCCCTGCCCACAGGAACACACCTACTGCCCGCTGGGCTCCGCAACCCGAATGGTCCTTCCTCACAAATCCACTTTCTTGACATATCCCTTCCACCAACCCTAGACAGCGTTTAGAAGACAAACACTTGGATGACATGGATTCTACAGCTGGCTTTTTCAGTCTATCTTTTCTTCAAGATTATTCCAAAAGCGCAGAAGGCACAGTACCTACCTGTCAACCACGAGACCCTGAGTTTAAATCTCAGTACCAAAAGAATAAAAAGATCACTGGACTATATTTTCAGTTGCTTTAATACAAAAAAGAGGAAATGGGGTCTACATTCTACATTTGGCTATTACAAATGCTGCGGGGCTGAAGTAAGACTCCGAGTTAAGTACCTCAGAATCTCATGTTCCCAGCGCTGTGCATGGATGGATACACCCGCAAGGGTTCATGGGTTCATGGCTCCCTGGCCCAGGAGGGGCTCCCCAGCCCAGGAGGTGACCTTGTGTCCCTGCTCTCTCTGCCTCCCTTCCTCTGCCTCCCTGTGCACCCCCACCCATGGCCAATATGCCAGAGTGTGAGTCCTCAAACTCCACGGATCTCAGGCCCTTTGCCACCCAGGGTAACAGTGACTGTCTAACAGGGTTGGTGGGGATGAAATGCTACATGCATCCATATTAGCTTTAGCAATGGCAATGAAGAAAAAGAAGGAAGAGGAGGAGGAGGAAGGGGAGGAGGAGAAAGGGGAAAGGGAGGAGGAGAAGGAAGGGGAGAGGAGGAGGAGGAAGGGGAGGAAAAGGATGAAGGGGAGGAGAAGGAAGGGGAGAGAAGAGGAAGGGAAGGAGGAAGGAGAGGAAGAGGAGGAGGAAAGGGAGAGGACGAGGAGGAAGGGGAGGAGGAGAAAGAGTAAGGGGAGAGGAGGAGAGGAAGGAGAGGAGGAAAAGGAGGAAGGGAAGAGAAGAAGGAGGAAGGGGAGTAGGAGAAGGAGAAAGGGGAGGAGGAGAAGGAGAAAGGGGAGGAGAAGGAGAAAGAGGGGGAGGGGGAGGAGGAACAGGAAGTGGAGGAGGAGGAAGGAGAAGAGGAGGAAGAAGAGGAGAAGGAGGAAGGGGAGGAGGAAGAGGAAGAAGGGGAGGAAGAGGAAGGAGAAGAGGAGGAAGGAGAAGAGAAGGAGGAAGGGGAGAGGAGGAGAAGGAAGGGGAGGAGGAGGAGAAAGGGGAGGAGGAGGAAGAAGGGGAGGAAGAGAAGGAGAAAGGGGGGAGGAGGAGGAAGGAGAGGAGGAGGGGAGGGGAAGAGGAGAAAGGGGAGGAAGGGGAGGAGGAAGAGGAAGAAGGAGAGAAGAGGAGGAAGAGGAGAAGGAGGAAGGGAAGGAGGAGAGGGGAGGAGGAAGGGGAGAGGAGGAAGAAGGGGAGGAGGAGGAAGGAGAGGAGGAAGGGGAGAGGAGAAGGAGGAAGGGGAGGAGGAGGAAGGGGAAGAGGAGGAGGAGGAAGGGGAGGAGGAGGAAGGGGAAGAGGAGGAGGAGGAAGGGGAGGAGGAGGAAGGGGAAGAGGAAGAGGAGGAAAGGGAAGAGGAGGGGGGAAGGGGAAGAGGAGAAGGAGGGGGAGGGGGAGGAGGAAGAAAATGGAAGCACAGGAAGAAGCAGCCAAGGATGCAAACCAGCTGCTGCTGAAGACTCTTCTAATGTCCTTAGAAAGAAATGACCATGGCCTCATTTCCTTCTCTACTACAATTGTCACACCCATACATGCCATATATTTATATATAGGCATGTTTTAATTTTCATTTATTTTATTTATACCACAGTGGTGCCTCTGGTCTGCAACCAAAATGGCAGAAAGAATTAAGTTCATAAACCAAGATACCAGTATTTTATTTATATACACTTTGTTTTCTTATTTTTATTTAAATACACAACCTATTTATATAAGCTTAGTATCCCTTATCCAAAATGCTTGGGATTAGAACTACTTCAGATTCCAGGTGTTTTCCTTTTGGCTTTGGGAATATTTCATTATACTAATGAGCTACCTTGGAGACAGAGCCCAAGACTACACACAGTACTCATTTACGTTGCATAAACGTCCTGTACACAGTCTGAAGGTAATTTCATACGGTATCTTCAGTGCACTAGCATTTTGTTTTTGTGGTAGAGGCAAAAAAAATGCAGACAGGTGGAAAGAAGATAAGGAACATCGCAATTTTAAAACTGTACTTTAAGCAGAGCAGCAGCCTCAGGACACAAGCCCACCCACTTCTCTAAGGTCCTTAAAGGTGCATGCTCCAAGCCTGGGCCCCGCTTCTCCCTGTAAGCGGACTTCACCTGTGACGAGCCAGCCCTTGCCTGCCATCAAATGGACCTCTCCATGACAGGTGGGTGACCAGCTAGCACGCTCTCACCCCAACGGTCATCGCTTGTGAATGGCCACCACCCTTCACCTACAGACAGGGCCACACCCGTCTTCCACAAGTGGAATCCCCTCTCCACAGATGCACAAGTTCCACAGACTTCTGGCCCCAAGTCCCCACACATGTGCCAAGCTCCAGGACCCAGGGCGCCTCTCTCCCTCCTATGCTCTATTTTCTTTGAGTACATACTTGAAAGTGCTCCCTGATAAACACCTTCTCATGCCTTATATGGACAGCTTTTGTGGACTTTTTTCTATGGTGTAAGTCAGCCAACCCTTCTCTGGGAGTGGGATGAACCAAAGGTCCCCATCTCTGCTTTGGAGCCCTCCTCAGACCCTGTCAGGTGACCTCCTAACCTGTCACATGAGGTCAGTGTGGAATTTTCCACCAGTGACATTATGTTGGTGCTCAAAAGCTTTAGATTTTGGAGCAGGGTGGGTTTTCAGATTAAAGTTGTCCCACCCGTATCACATGTCATGTGAACTTATTCACGTGTGTGATTCCCAACCTAGACTGTGAGCTCTGTGAAAAGAAGAACGGTGTTCCAACTGCCCTTCAATCACCAGCACCTAGAACACAGCCAGAGACATAGCCGGTATTCCCAAGCACTAAGAAAGGAATTCAGTAGCAAACCCTGAAGCGAGGAGAGCCTGACGCAGGCAAGCACATGGTCTCTTAGATTCTCTACTCATGGTACTAAATTTGGACCAAACACCTCTTCTCACAACAAATGAGGCTTTGAGCAAGAAAGAAGTAAGTTTTTAAAAATGTCTATAGGTCAACAACTCATCTCAAAAAGGCAACTCAAGAAGGTCCGGCAGCTTCAGTTCTGTGAATCAAGCCCACTGGATTGGCACAGCATTTAACAGTACAAATATGCAAGGTATCAACTACATTCAGCTGCCTTTACCATCTGCAGAGCCTACAGAGACAGAGCACATGACATACATGTGGAAATCTAAAAGAAAAAAGAGGCCCGAAAAGCCAGAATCCTCGCGGCTAGCTTTCATTTTGGGGGGAGAAGCTACTGGTTTAAAAGCAAATCGTGATATACTTGTTATTTCCCCAAATCTGAGCTTCTCCTGCCAGATGGTGGACTCTCTTAGGAGAGGAACCTTGCCTGTCCTGTTCCTTCTGTATCCCCCGCACCTAGCTCTCTACCTGGAAACAGGAGATATGCAAAACGTACTTGTTGACCAACCAACAGACCCTCATTAAAAAGTTCCAGTTTGTGATGCTAAATATGGAAGTATTTCTAGTATTTCAGGGGTCCAAAAGTCACTCTAAAATTCCCCGTTAACATCACCAGCACCATTACTAGATGCCCCCAACTCTCCTCCCCCACTCCGAGGAGAGGTGCCACCTGCAGTAGCGTAGCACACACCATGTGGCAGCCAAGGACAATTTTCAACATGTACAAGATCTGAGACCTACAGTTAAGTCCACCTCGGTGTGCCTCCCATCACATGGGTCCCAGCTCTGCCTCTGGAACACCACCAAAGTGTCTGAAGCTGCCTTCCCAGCGCATGACCACTCCTGGGCAGCCAGCTCTGGCCTCCAGACCTCCCTGGAGGGTACCTTTCCGGTGCATCTAGACTTCACAGAGACCTGTTTCTCTTCTGCAGCACGCCTGGGCTCCTGGAGCGTCCCTTCGTTTGCCACGCCCCTCTGGGGCACGGGACTACCCCAAGCTCAGGTCTCCACATTTCTGAGCTCTGACTACTGCTGCTGGAACTGTCAAGATTTAGCAAACAGGGCCACACTGTGAGCCAATGGGAAACCAACAGTCACCAAAACTTCCTCAGCTTCCCCTCAACCCCTACTTCAGATCTTTGAATTTGGATTGTTGTGGTTTGCGGGATTTCCTGTGCCTTTCCAAAACCCCTCAGGATGGGTGGTATCAGAAATTTCACGATTTAAAATAAAAATAGCTTCACTTAACAGTCCCAATATACTGGGGACTAGGTTTGGAATTAAACAAAATCACAGACTTTCATACCAGAAGGGATTTACAATTAACCTAATCTGACTCCAAGAGGCCAAGC